AAAATACATATATTTAAATATCAAATATCGAAAAAATAGATTTACAAGTATATTTAAGACAAAGTTACGATACTAAAGCAGGTTAATTGGAATAAAATTGAAAGTCAAACTTCTATAAATAGTATGACTCACCTGTTGAGCCACCGGCTCCAAAATGCTTTCAATGATCTTTGTGTGGAAGACCGGCATGATTGTTGTTACTATCACATGAATATCATTAGAATGTAACACAACACGGCATTCACGATAATAATATTAACACAAAAAACGCAAAGCACAACCAAACAGCGGGACCACCAGAAAAATACTGTGTCAAAGAGAACGACAAAATTCTAACACAATATGGCTGTCAATGTCACTGTTGACTGTAGTATGTCATACTGAAGGGCCGTTCTGTTCAACGGACGCAGTGTATACGATATATTTGGTACTTTTTTATTTTATCTTAAATAAATAAAAATGAATGTTGCTAAGCGTAAAACTCGAGAACGGCTCGACCATTTCAGCTATTTTTTTGTATGTTCCTTAAGGTACACGTTAAATTTTAATAAAGAGAAAAAATATAAAATAAGGTAGACATATAACAAATCAAAGTTGTGTTAGTTACACCATTTATAACTCAAGAACGGCTAGACCAATTTTTATGATATTTGATTTTTTGGATTTCTCTTGGTCCGGAATAGGATAATAAGTATTAAAACATCAAAAAAATTAACGAAGAAAAAATAAAATTTATATGGATAACCATGGCTAATAACTATTTATATCTATTTAAAACGTATCAGCATATAGTACAAAACTAAAACTATAGATATTTACCACAAATGGTTACAATATTCTCGTAGTAACTGAAAGTGTATTGATGAAGTGTGATTGATCCTTAGATGCAAAGAAAAGCTAACTACAAAGATGAAAACAAGATGACGACGCAATAAAATTATGCGGTCGGAAACATCCATAATATAGGGGTGAAAATGGGGAGGAAAGTTTGTATAGGGAAGCAAGGTATAGATGAACCCGAGCGAAGTGAGGGTGAGTCGCTAGTTATCTAATATTCAAGGAATATTTTCAAATTATTATTAATTATTGTCCAATTTTTTGATTTTTATCTGTTTGTTGGTCAAATATTATGCAAAAAATACTTAAGTAATTTTTTTTTTAATTTCAACTTATATAATTAGACTTGAAATGTCAAGTGTATATCTATCTACGAGTATAAACAATTATGATAACCATTACTCCTTTATTTATTTTTTTCTTTTAAAGTTAATGGCGCTAATAATACGCTCAACAAAAATTATTAAACAACTGCTCTCTAAAATAACTTTTCGGTTTAATCGCGCCTTCTTCGAGACCTAATTTAAAAAAAATGTTTTTACTATTCATAATAATAATTATAATAATATGAATGAAATTGGCGATAACTAGATAAAACTAACGATAGCGGCTTACAGTACGATTCTGTACCTACTTTTATTATTATAAACGTTTTACAGACTAAGCCTAAATAGTGTTATACTTAGGTATGTATTTTATTAGTTTTTCGCGAATTTATTTTTTTTGTCTTTGGATTTTAAGTCCCGATGTTTAGAATGCTTTACAGCAATCATGGTCACGGGAGAGACTCATGACTCATCTCTCCCGTGACCATAATTGCCGTAAAGCATTCGCGAAAAAAATCGTAAATATAGTTTTTTTTTTAATTGTATAAATAGTGTCTTTACCGGTCAAAGTTAATTCTGCGACTAACATAAAAGAGAATTTGCTTACCGCTAATACTTACATTCTATTAGCTACATACATCATCTCAAAGATACCCTATTGTACGAGTACGTATTCTAACTTCTGAAGTATGAAGCGGTTATTTTGAATTTACATATGACGATGATTTATAAATTATATATGACGATTTCATTAAACTATTTAATTCGTATTAGGTATATGGATTGTGAAATAAAAAAAGTTATAATTCAATATTTATTACGAGAATCTTATATATTTAGTTTTATAATATCTATTAAGTCTTTAATACGTGCGAAAAGTAGCATACATACATACTTTTAAGTAACATTTTTAAATAAAACTTATAATATTATAAATCTTATTTACTGTACAGTATTGTAAAAATAGACCAAAATTACACTATATTGACACCTATTCTCAGTATTTATAACATTGTGGAAATATAAAACGTACATAGTGCAATTGAGCTGAATCTCTTCTATTATTTTAAACAAAATATGCAACTATACAACATGAAAAGGAATCCCACAACAATTTTACTAAAATAAGCAAACAATGATATATTTTATTTACTATTTAGCTTTTAATAACAAAGCTAAGTTGAACACTTAATTTTCGTTTCTTCAGATTCATTCTTCACATAATATCACACCATTGTAATGGTGTATATCATCACTGAAAATAAGTTGGTCACGAAAGAGTTCTATTAGCATTATATAGCATGCTGTATGGTGTAAACAAATATTCAATAGCCTCTTCAAGCCCTGTTGATTTTGAAGATTTAAAGTTAGCCAGAGTTAAAGTATATATATTAAATATGAAATATGACTTTTAAGTTTTAGGGCGAATGTCTTACATTCACTGTGTGTTATTATTGCAATTTGCAAGGTGGGATTTAAATTATAACGTCATTAGTAACTGGTACGATTCTATCATATTTTTATTCACATTCTACACAGATCGTATACTTATAATATTAAAAACTGTTTAACCCTTAACTTGGCAGAGATTTTGATATCATATTCTTTATAGATATATTTATGTTCTGACTTCTGTAATAAATAAACACTGAAAAAATAAAAAAAATTGCACTAAATAATTAATTTTATATTTATAGCATGCATCTAATAATGCACACTGTCAACTATTCCAACATTCATTATCTGGAAGTCCATGTATACTAAAGGATACGTTGCTGGCTTGGATGTAAATAAAAAACAAATGTAAAGAAATAAAAACAAAAATTTAATCCATATTCCATTAAACATAATTAATTATATCTAAATGAAATTATTATTTAAAATCACAGTCATAAATTAGGAACATAATCAACATCAACTTTTTCATTATATTTAAAAAAGTATTAGTAGGTATGAACTAGAATAGGTATAAAAATAACAAATGAATTTATAAAAATTCGATCGACTCACTCTCGCTTCGTTCGGGTTCGCCTCTAGAAATACAAAAACAAGTCTATCCCACAGGAACCGTACATTTTTCCGGGATAAAAAGTACCCTATGTGTTATTATGATGTATGAGATATATTACTGTAGTTTCATTAAAATCCATTCAGTAGTTTTTGCGTGAAACAGTAACAAACATCCATACATCCAGACATACATACATCGTCACAAACTGTCGCATTTATAATATTACTAGGATATAAGTAACTAATAGGTAGTGGATCTAAAATCACCATTTTGGAAACACTATTTCTTGTGATAATTATAAAAACATATACGATCCTCCACTAAATAAAGTCTCACTTGGCATTTAATGTCAATTTAGTTTGACCCTTAACACATAGCATACACCGCCCTTTGGATGTAAATGATGACATGTGGCCCAGTTGATCGTAACGTATGTCTGTCTGATTTTCAGGAGTCACAAATCCTTGTGTTTTTAGGGTAATGCTTCTTTCATAGTTCTGGTATCTGTGGTTTCTTCTTCTAGCGAGAGCGTCTGCATTTTCTTTTTATAAATTTTGCAATAAGTTGTGTGATCTGCAATTTTTGGCTTTATTTGTACTCCTTTATGAGATTTATTGTTAGTAGTTGACGCTACTACATCTACTTCCATAGATGATAATGAATAAAAAAATCCGAAAAAATAATAATACATTTGACCTCAGAGTAGGAAAATAAAGAAATAGTATTTTTAGGGGCTTCATATTTTTTGAAATGTTGTCAATTCGGTCTACAGTAATAAGATTGTTACCTATCGTGCATCGGTTTGGGTATTTGCTTTCGCATCTATAAATAGGCCCGCCTGGCTTATGGCTTGTTGATATAGATATCAAGCATTTGTAAGAATTGAGGTATTTACTATCTATATGCTCCATGCTTTCATATGGGAAATTGCAATCAATATATCCGTAAGACTCACACCTACCATATGGGCGTTATATTGTCGAACTATGTTTGGAAAGGGCACTGGCACTTTGCGCTTCTTTTATTTATTATACCTCAATACATGATAAACCGAATGAGCATCAACATAAGAACTAGCCACATTAAAACATTTATAATCAAACCACTTGACCAAAGCTATTTTTTTTTCATTACAAGTAATATATGCTAACGTTCCGTGGCCTTTCTTTTCAAATTTTTATCAGAAGAAAGCTTCTTGTCACCTCCACGAAGACTATTTGGTCATTGTACCCGAAATTCTAAAGAGGTGAAAAAATTATCAAAATAAATCACTAAAACTATCAAAAAGCTATAACAACTTTAGATCCTAAGCCCATATTGTTTTCTTCTTCATTGTTACATGCTAAAGTTACATTTTATAGGCATACCCTTTATTTGTAAGTAATAAATTGCTTTTTTGTACCATCATATCAAAGATATCCTCGAATTTCGGAAACAATATTTTAAAATATTGTTAAGGTGATTTTGTTTTCATAATATTCGTTAAATGTTTTGTTTTCGATTTCAGGAGTGTATTTGAACCTTGCTGTTATCAATTTGACCTCAAGACTATTTTTGTACAGTCTTTTTCACTTCTCTATATATACTCTTTTGTTGGATTGAGTCCTGTAGATATTATTACTCAACAAACTTACATATCTCGTATTGTTTGTCGTATTTTCGGCTGGGACTAATACTTCTCTATACTCGTTTTCACTTTCTGTTAATTAATAGGTGAAGATTTTCTATCGATGATGGCAACGAGGATGCATTTGAACTATCTACTATCGTGATCCTGGTTAGAAGCAGGTCTTATTATTATATCGTCAAAAAAAACGCCTCTCTCAATATTTGGGATTGTTCCTGGTTTCAGAACCAAAGCCAGTATTCTTTGTGCTCTTGCACCGACCTAAAAAGTAAACAAATCATTATATACAAATATAAATAAATTTATATACGATAATATTATGTAATTATGGTTTATTTGGCAATGTATCTGAAATGCGCACTGCAAAAATAAGGTGGTAGAATTGGTATCTTGACATTGTGCATTTGCAGATCTATAAATATTCACAGTACTATTTTAGATAAAAAATATTATTATTTGATCGAAATATTTTACATAAACAATAAAATATAATAATAATAGCAACTTAATAGGGCAGCTTGTGGCGAGTTGTTGAAGTGTGGCGACACCTCGGATCTAAGGTCTTCCAGGGGAAACACCATCTGTCCACCGCCTCTGGCTTACGTTCATTGGCCGTCCAGAGAGGAATGTAAGAGCCAAGTTCTCGGAAGGGTGGAAGTGCCCAATCTGCGTAATAACGGCGAAACCTGCTCACGAACACTCTCGCGATGGTGAAACCTGTGCACACCTCTCGACATTCACCGGCGACCACGTCGATGTTGCGCCCAAGGCACTATGCCGCTTTGTGGGGGTCACATTAAACAAATTTGATTCTCTTCAGGCGCCTCTACGTGTTGGATCTGTGTCCCCACGCAAGCCTTCCAAAGGACTGGGTTCCTTCGAAGACTTGAATTCCAAAGAGATACATATAATAATAATAATAATAATATTCTTCATTGTATACCAAAAAAGAAACTCTAAAATACAAAAAAAGCACTAACAAGTACAGCCACCTGCTGTGTGCAGAATATAGATTCAATAAAACAATTACCACATATATTTATCATAATATCGATAGAAAAAAAATATTTTTATTACTAAATAGAATGATTTTAAAACAGTTTTTGTTAAAATGTGCCAAAACATTTTTTTATGTCTGCATTATTAGATACGTTACCAAGTTAAGGGTTAACAATTCATTTATACAATATGTACATATGTATAAACTATAAAAAATCACAAATTGTGCATTGGAATGAATTCAATAAATTTTAAGATAAAACACCTAACATTCTAATAATACTAATACCTCAATATTAGCTACAATAAAAACTAACTTTGCTAAAATTGCAATATACAATGTCGTATTACCTATACGACATTTTTAGAACATTTCTATTTTAATTATATAAAATAACCCGTGACCGAACTTGATTTTTTATCGTCTATTATTATATTAGCTATAATAATTACTTATAAATTAAGTATCTTTAAATTACTGGTTTCCTCGAGAACATTGCCTGTCACTTACCGCAATTTTTTAAATATTTTTTTCTAACTATATATCAAAAGTAACGGTACTACGTGCTCTTATTTGTCTATGATATAAGAAATTATATTACAAATCATTTGCATTATACACGGAATATAGATTTGAGTTTCTCACTTAACATTGTACAGATGGAGATGTCCACCATCCATGAACCATCACGGAAGAGCTTATTTTCCTTAAACCATACAATGATACACTAAAGTACACTTAAGTGCTCGCACATTTTCAACAACCAATTGAATACCAAATCTAGCTACACTTTTCACACTCACTGTAACACCAAAAAGATCTTTGTTCACAATTTATGGAATACGACACAAAATTACAAATATTCCACAATATCACATTTAATGGATATATTTGGGCAGCTCACCCCATAGCTCAGGTTGAGACCATGGGGCTGGCTCTTGTGCCGTTCTGTCAGGAGTTTTTGGAAAATTGGTAATATAGCACACTCGAACAGTTCTGACTCAGAGCTCGCAGTATACATCTTCCTCTCTACTGACTCCTGACGCTTGGACTCGCTCCGGGAGTACGTCGCGGACTTACGTTCTTCACGTTTGTTGGGAGATTCTGGAAATTTCAATTATCTTAGTCATAGCTAAGTTGGATCTACATACATTAAACAATAAAAAATAAATAATTGATGTTTGGACAGGGTGTTTTTTGCCGCTTCTCATTAGAATACATTCATATATTTCATACACAATAAAGTAATAAAAAAATCATATCATTGGACATTTTCAACAATTATAAAATACTGACCAGCTTTATGTCTGGATGCAACGTTTGGGCTACTTTTATGATGATCAGGTCTTGTTTGAACCTGACTCAGTCTCGGGGAGTCTCCGGCACCCTTGGCCCTCTTCAAAGGCTCTGCCTCTTGCCTCAACCTTTTCGAAGGCGATTCTTGACCTTTAGTCACTCTTATGGTATCTGGATCCTGAATTCTTTTCGCAGGAGATTCAGATTTTTTCGAAATTCTTATAATATCTGGATCTGGTTTGAAATCTCTTGTTTCTTTTGGCTCTTCCATTTTTTCAGGTACTGGTTTGGGCAGATCCTCTAGTCTTCGTTGAGTTTGTTCCGCTTTGCTTTCTCTCTCTTCCTGATATGTTCTCATCTGAAAAATAGCCCTTAGAATTTAGAATATACGTGTATATTAAATATGATCTCACACAATATATATATACATATATGTAAATTTTTAAAAATCATGTTTATAAACCCTACCAAAGAAAACAAAAATTTTTAGAAATAAAAAATGAGAATATTAATATGATATTTATAGTAGTTTCGATATAAATGCGAAAGTTTGTATGTGTGTTACGCCTTCATGCTGGAACGGCTGGATGAATTTGGATGAAATTTGCTATACAGGTAGACTTTAGAATAAAACATTGGTAACAACTGACCAAAGCGACTGTAAGTCGCTAAAAATATGTAAAATGTTATCGTATAACCTGAGCAGAGGATTGTCTTCTCTTCATTTGTATTTGATGAGGAGGAGTGCTCACTGGTTGAGGGAATTCTGAGCCACGACGCTGTAAAGTACATTACATAGTTAAAAAAATAAAATAACTATTTGTTAATACGTTAGTCAAGATACAGCTCTATTCGGATAATTTAACTACTACCATTGGATTTCATTTACAAATATGTACTTTTTTACTTATGAATATTATAATTAGAATTAAAACTGGAAGTATCCTATACATATTGTACGAATATATATTATAATTCGTATATTATATAAATACAACGTACTTTAGACAGTCGATCAGTCATCCGGAGAGTTTCAGAATCTCGGTAGCCCTCCGGCGTCCCGACGCGTCCCGAGCCCACTGCACGTAAGGGGAAAATCAACAATTAATTAATTCTTACTAATTTCTAAAAAAATATTAAGAGTACCTATTTATCAATAATTATTAATTATCTGTTATTAACTACACATTTTTCTACTTTTCTACATATAATGTACCTCTTAAGTCTTGGTCGTACTTACCGTGGTTAATTGATGCGTTTGAAGCTCTTCTATCCATACTTCTTGTATCACTTTCCCTGAAACGTTCATATTATCAAAATTAAATATTGTCTTAAAGAAATAATGACCTTATAAATAAAAAGTAAACCGATTTCAAGAAAACTACAACATTAAATATTCTAGTAATTATTTAATTAAAATGGGACCACCAAGTTTCTAAAGATTCAAAGGTTGTATTTTAAAACATAGGTGTAGGCACCAAAATAAAAATTATCATCAAAATATAAATCGGTTTTAAAACATAATTTACGAAATACGTTTAATACTAGATTTTAGACTATTTTAGAAGACATAGGAAGTAAAAATTATTTTGAAATATCATTTATACTTAGTTAAATAATGCTTTCTTAGATTTGCGCGAATATTTGAAATTTTATATAAAACTATGTTTTCGGATTTTTTTGCGATTTTTTTTGATTTTTGGTTCCCGACGTCGAAAAAATTCGAAAAGATAGTTTCATTTAAAATGTAAGTATAGCTTAATTCTCAGGCAAACCTATGATGGTGAGGCGACTGTTGCTGCTGTCGACTCTTCTCTGAAACACTTCGCTGCATCGGAGAATGAGCGTGACCTGAAATAAAATAAGAATTTAAGGATATATCCATTATTAAAATAAGTATGAAAAATAAAAGATTTTTAAAAATATTTGAAACTGGATTTAGGAAAGGAATATGTACTACTCGGTGGTGATTTCTGGCAAGTGTACTGGAATGTGTTTGTATCCCACAAATCACTTTGCACTACTATGAAGTTTTCCTTTTTCCTTCTCTCCGAATCTTTACGTTGACCTAAAAACGAAGAAGAAAAAAAATATAAATTATCTATCTACACTAATATTATAATAGGGTTAAGTTTTTATTTTGGGTAATAGAGAATATGGGCGCACCCGAAGAAAGCGAGGGTAAGCCGCTAGTTTATAAATAAAAAGTTTTTTTTTAAATGTATAATTACTACAACTTACACGTCTTCTTCCTTTCCGTAGAAGAGTAGTCGTGGTCAATGTCTAAAATATCTTCAAGCTCTTGTTTCGGTTTGGGAGGTGTCGGATCACGTTCTTGACCTTTAAGAAATAAAAAAAATTCAATTATATGTACAAATTTAACTTTTTATAGATAACTGAATTTTCTTTTCTCGAACAATGTGTATTGTCAGTGATTATTAGTTAATTTGTGGAATAAAGACGTGGAATTTATAATAGGGGTATGGAATATCGTGATATTGTCACGTATAGAGTAGGTATGAAATTCTTGTAGTTTCCCTGCCAGATCGACTGAGAAATGAGGAGATATACGGAAACACAATAGTTATCAGTATAGCAGAAATAGGATGACCTGGTGAAAGTCGGCGGATACCATGTGTAGCCACAAAGTGCTGATTGCTTTCGGAGAAGGTATATGTTTAATATTGAATGGTTAATCAGCTAAGACGAAACAGTAACGTCACCTGCACAAGTAATAACGAGTTATTACTATTACTCGACGGTTTAGTGGCTAGCAGGTACTTCTGCAAAACAGGTGGTTTGTGGGTTAGACTATAGGCTGTTGTTGTTGATAAGTAAAGTTATTTAATGTTTCTGTCAAAAATTCTCAGTGACAGCCAGAGGAGTTGGCGGTGTTTCACCCCCGTACGGCGTGTCTCAGAGAAATCGTGTTGTGTTAGTCCTGCATTTAGTCTCGCACCAGTCTAGCCAATTTGTCGTATCCCCGGAGTATGAGAGCGACAGGAATAGAGAGTTCACTTGTGCACCATTCTGCGTTGGCTAGCATCAGTGAGATGGGCCGCCGTGGCCGACATCTATCTATCTATCGGGATCTACTCACCAACCCCGCCGGTCCTCTCGTGCGGCGGCTCGCGCTGGTCCGTGCCGAGGTGCATCACGTCCGCGAGCAAGGCGCCGGCGCCGCTGGACACGCGGCGGTGCGCGCGCGGTGCCGTCTTCACCGGCTTGGCCTCTTGCTTGCTTATCTTCTTTTGCATTTCTGGTGTCTGTTGGTTTTGGACGCAGTGTCAATTAACGATACGACCTAATTTCACGGAACTGTATATTCTGCGATAAATACATACAATGCCAAACTAGTTTTGTAGATACGATACGTATTTACTGAGTGGGAGTAGGATTCTTTCTCTTCAGTAAACACGATTTTCATGATATCAAGCCTTAAACAGTTTATCAAAAAGTTATATTTTCACAAAAATCGTTCATGTTAGATCCAAAGTATTAATTTTAAATAGCAATACAAATAAAGACGGATCATCATTCATCATACCTTATTAACCTTAGGTGTGGCAGCCTTCGTGTACATGGGCTCTTGCACGCGTGCTGGCACCGATTTGGCCGTGGCAGTGTCGCTCGACTTCAGCACCGGGATCGTTTTAGCTTCGGCTTTAGCTGCTTCCGATTTAAGCTTTGGAGGTTCTGATGGTTCCTAATGTGGAAAATGTTTGTTTTTTTTTACTTCGTTATTGTATCAAATAGATTATAATTGAATATGGTAAAGTAATTAAATATAAGTAATCTTATTAAAGGCCATTAAGATGCATTGAAACGAAATATAATAGGTATATTGGTTTGTTTGTTAAATCTTAACGTAGTAGGAAAGACTCGACGGACTTGAGATAAATATGAATTTAAATTTAAACTGCCTCGGTGGTGTAGTGGCTAGCATGTACGGCTGCACACCCGGAGGTCCTGGGTTCGAGTCCCGGGTCGGGCCAAGTTTAGTTATTGAGTCCTTAGGTATACTAAGTCTCAGTAACAGCCCGGAGTTGTGAAGTTGGCGGTGTTTCACCCCGTGCCTCGGAGAGCACGTAAAGCCGTCGGTCCTGCACCTTAACTCTCACTGGTCGTGTCGAGCAGTCGTCCCACCGGAGTATGAGTGACAGGAATAGAGAGTGCACTTGTGTCTGCGCGTACACTTGTGCACTATAATATCTCCTGCGCAGTTCGCTAGTCTCAATGAGATTGGCCGCCGTAGTCGGAATCGGCTAGGAGAACATCATCATCAAATATGAATGATATCTGCTTATGTCATGAACTCACCTCAGCCGACCACCCATACGGTAACTTCGCAAGTTGGTCTTTCTCAGGCACGGCCTTGGAAGATGGAGGACTGGTGTAGTCCAAGTGGTTCTTGAAGGAAACGTTCTTTGTTTGTTCTTTTTTAGGTTCTTTTAGTACTTCTTTCACTGTTTCGGGAGGTGCTGGAGGTTTTGGTCTGGAAGTTATTTTATATTCATATATATTTATTTACCTTTTAACGTAAAGGCTTCATGGATTTCAAAATTAAATTGGTGGCGTATAATTAATTATTTATAATATAATATTAATTTAATTAGCAATGTCTTGTGTAAAATTCTAATTATACATACAATGATTTCACAAAAGTTAAATTTCGTAAATTACGTAATAATTTGATGACACAGAATATATTTTGATAAAACTAAGTTCTAATTGCAAGCTGTTACAATATTCAATTTTAAGCGAGGTATTCACACGCTATAATTACGTATTCGTTTTGCAGTTCAAAAGACGTGACATAACAAACGTGTTAACGGTTCTATGTATAATTCATTCGCCAAGAGTTATATGAGTATCTATTTAGCTTACGAGTATAATATTTATAGTTCGTTAGTAAAATTCATTATGCATAAAATCAAAATGAGGTAAATTAGACTTCATGTAAAGCCACTAGCAGACTCACTTGTCGACCTGCGCCTGCATGCCGATGTACTCGGTCTCAGCGCCGGCGGACGCGCTCAGGCTGCACACGGACGTGATGTCGCTCGTCTCTGCAACGGGGTACAAATCTATAAAAAATAAATAACTCGCTAATTTTGGGATATATCTACTATACATTAGCCATATTACGCCTTAGAAGGCGAACAAGGCTCTAAGGCGGTCACTGAAAATCAACGTCGAAGTTTCAATTATATTCTGGCCCTCACTTACTCGTATTTAACAGTCAATTTTTTTTATTTTCTATTCTTTAAGAAAACTATTTTACATTTCTGGGATAAAAATAAGCATAATATATCCTGTATAGGCCGGTGCTTGTCTAAAAGAAAATGTTCCTGTATATTTGTTACTCCCTCATGCTAAAGTGCTGACTGACCGAATTTTGATAAAATTTAGGACACAGGTAGATTATAACCTGCCTGCAAAACATGCATCCGAGAAAAGTGTAAGTAAATCGTTAGTAGTAGATAATTTATTAATTTACCAGGATGACTGAGATTCTCCCTCGGTACTGGTAAACGAGTTCTTTGAGTTGCAGGAGACTTGGAATCCCGTGTTGATGATTCTGAACTTACGTCACTGCCTAGTTTACTTAACAGCATCTAGAAGAAGAAGAAAATAAGTATGAAATAAGTATGTATATTATATGTATATAGTTTTGATGATATTATAATAAAAAAATGACAGTTTTTAGTTTTGCTAGGTAATTCTTTTAAAAACTCTTTATAGTAGAAGAACAATAAAAACTATATTCTAATCACAATTAAAAAGGGTTCGTTACTAAAAATTCTTCAATTGGTCCTTATAATAACACCACCACTTCCACATCATTCCTACAGAGAACCGATTATTTCTAAAGTTTCACACAACCTCACGCACTGCCCGTTGATGTAACCGGTTTATTCTGGCTCGAGCTGTTGACAATGTCAGACTAAGGCCTTACGCGCAAAAAAAATGCACCCACTGCCGCGCCACTTTATATAAATATTAGTTTACCTATCGTTGCACTGTTATATCAAGCTCTGTGTTTGTACACTGTAGAGATACCTACTCATGCGAGAACAGAGTATATACTCGTATATGTATTTACATAATATATATGGTCAGTGCAGTATACGTTTTTTTATTTATTTCTTAGCTGGAGCTAAAGAGTATCATTTCGACCAAATCTAGTCTTTGTGATCGCCGCATTTTAAAGTACAGTAATCCATCAAATCCTGTAGCTGTATGAATATCGCGTTTGGGCAGTATGTTACCTGTAGCTCGTTGTCCTTCGCCTGCAGCGTGCGCCGGTAGCGGTTGTTGTACTGGCGCAGCTCCTTGAGGCGGCGCTCGAGCTCGGGGCCGGGCGAGCGGCACTCGTGTGGCGCGGCCGGCCGCAGGGTGGCGCGGATGCGCGCGCCGCCCGGCCCGCCCGTGCCGTTGCGGCGGAGTTCCACTAGCTGGGTTGGGGATTTATGAAACTTTAGATATAATTTAACCTAGATACCTATATTAGTGAGTAGAATGTCAACTTAATATATCATCATCATCCTCCTGCCCATCTCCCAAATTACTTGGGGACGGCGCGGTACGTCTTCTATACTGCTGATCAGTTTTGGCAAAAGCTTCACGATCGGCCGCCTGCCTAACATCAACCCTCTTTGGGAATGCTGTTGTCTACCCAAGAAGACCCAAGGTGTAATTTAATCAGCACAGGATCGTCTTCTATGATACTCGCAATATTATAATATGTATTGCGTCAGCGCGTGCTGTTACGACGGAGCTTCACTGGCTGAGAGTTTATACACCTTAATGTCAATTGTTATACGGAGTTTTAGTTTCTGGGATATAGACCGATGGAGATGTATCCATAATCCAGGATAAGATATTAGAGAACCGAATTTTGTCGAATTGGTAAAATCCTATAAAATTAATATGTAATTATAATATCAAATATTACTTTAAAAATTATGAAACCAGAGAGGTTATTTTATTACAATAATGATAATGAAACAGTATTATTAATCTTACCTTAGGAACAAATACTAGGCACAAAGTAGCAGTCGTACAGAAAATGATGAATATTGCGATCAATACGAACAAGGCGTCTTTATGATCAGCCAGCACCTGAAAATATTGAACAAGTGTAAGAAAAATCTATTTATTTAGAAAAATTAGGAAATACTGTTTTAAATTCGCCAAAAAAGAAATATTTACCAAAGCAATTGGAGCACCCATAATGCACATGATGAGGACGTTGTAGACCGACAGCCCGATGTGCTTGGAGTCGTTTAATGCAGGAATAGATACATGTCTAGTTTCCCACGCAAGAAATGCACCGAAGACCTGGAAGAAAAGCATGTTTTTGTTAACATTTGTTTGGAAATACAAAGAGATTATAAATTTATAAAAAGTACCAATAGATTCAGGTGCGCGAGTCAAATATGATAACATATGATGGTACCATTAATATTAGTAATAACAAAATAAGTAATAGATACGAAATTAGAATATTGTACTTCAAAAATATTACTTAAAATTTATAAAAAGCACACCAACTTAAGATAAATAAGATGTACGAAAATACCATACCAGTAAAAGTCCTTTGTAAGCGTAAATAACCCCAATAAATATGGGCATCCGCTCAGATTGGCAGTACTCGTTCTCTTGTACTATTACGATATCTTCACTTGTGGGATGAGGCTGTAAAACACATGGAAAATAAACAATAACATTTTACATATTTTATTACATATTTTACAATTTAATCAATTTCTCCGTAAAGTTTTGGCGTTTGATACATCAAAGTAATAGACTAAAGAGCTTACTTATAACATCATCATTTATGGGAAAATAAGTATAATTTTGTAGGACATAATACAAATTGTACTCACATAAGCTTCCATCTGCTTAGTTGCTCTATAAAATGGGTCGGAAATCTGCCAAGTTGTCATTATGGCGAAGTCGATGCAAAGCAGAACACCCACTACCATAAACAGCTGATAGTCTTTTATGACCTAAAACAAAAGAATTATTCTCAATTTGTTTTGACCTAAACAATTTAATTTGTGTGTTGTAATCAAAAACTATTTATATAATTGTATTGGAAAACATTCTGTTACATATTTGTTGGCATGACTTCTAATTTTTTTATGTTTAAGTAAAAAAGACTGCTAATTGGTCTTAGTATATGATCTTTTTGCTACCAAAGTCCGCAAAATAGTTAAGTACCTTTTTATTTAGCTTAACATCAGTGAAGATGGAGTGAACCCGCCATGTCTTGGAGAACATTGCCCCAAATGCCAAGCTGAAGCCTGCCATCAGCAGCCAAGCTCTCGCGGTACAGATGTACGGGAACGCGGCTGATTGAAATATTTCATGATATTTAAAATTAGCGATTCTATGTTGTAATAATAAAATATATTTGTTTATTCATAAAAGTCCCTTTAAAGTCATAAGCTGACACTAATTCTTAGTTAAAAAGTTAATATTCTTGTGCTTGCTTAAAAGTTTATGCGATGTGTTCGTAATTTGTATGTCACTTAAAAGAATTTTTGTATAAAATATTTTAAAATTAATTAAAGAACCCTTTTAATATTACATAGCAATAAATATTAAGTTTAAGAATTAGCATTAGATTAACGTTATCAAATTAACTTTCGATAAGATAGTGCTAATACTCAATCGTGTACCATATTATGTCCTCTACTACTCCTACATTTTTTTCTGTCAATAGCGGCTTTATATTAAAGTTTATAGTGTGGAAAGGCCATACGGTATATTTTCTCAGTATAATGCAGGTTTTGAAAATGCCGCCCCTAGATAATTTTCATTAGGGTTTCGTAGCTAAAAGGCAAAAACAAAAGCCTTAAAATTTGTCCACCCGTTCGTCCATATGTCATTGGAGTTGTATTGCTGAAAGGTAGATTGGTATGTTATGTCAATTGCTAGACAATTTCTGTAAAATAATGAAAAAAGGGGTTTGCCTTCAGAAAAAATTGTGTCCATATAAGTAGAGATGAGAATCTAGGGTATTTGTAGCTCCAAGTCGCCCCTATTTTATGCCGCCTGAAACTGCCGCCTATTTTCATCATAGAACCAGATGGTCATGTAGTGTGGTATGTGTTTGTTTGGGGAGCACATTAAATCCATATGAATATGTAAGTGAAGCACCCTCTAGAATAAAGGATATCTTGTGAAATTATCTAGTCTCATTGAAAAAGACCATTAAAATCAACATCGCATAATCGTGAAAAATTTAGGAACGTTTATGAATAAGGATATAAGGATATAATATGTGGTATTAAAAATATTCAAGGAACTATCTAAATTTGAATAGCACTTCAAATATTTTATTAAATAATCGATACCTATAAAGTGCTCTAATTCAGACATTAGCATTATGATAAGCATGCATTACATAAAATAGCGATAAGCTATTCGCCGAGGTGATTCGAATGATTCAAAATATGAATGCAGAATTGAATAAAATAAAATACAAAAAAAGCGAAAACGTCAAAGTACTCACAATCACCGGATCGTAAAGCTTGAAAAAACAAATGAAAATCAATAAAAGCAATGCATAGGAGAGTAAACCAAAGCTTGGAAACATGCTGTCGACTCCGATGACCTAGATACTGCCTAGGCCTTTCTCAGAATCTAAAACAGGGAGGGGTTCCCAAAGTTTGGTTACAGGTTCAATTCTGCTCGGGAAGCTAAAGCTGGGGTTGCAAGCTATTACCTCCACGTGGAACTCCCTGAGAAAGACCTAAGAATTAATGAACTCGATGAGATGACGTGCCAGCGGCATGCGAGTTAAAAGTGCTAACTATCGAAGTTACTTTTAACCAGTCGATCAGTTATCAAAATTACCTTTAATCCGAAAGATAGAAAGAACAAAGATATTTATGAATGATTGTAGAACAGATATATAAGATATAATGATGCATGTTAATGGTATTACCGATGCTGCTGAGGCTGGAGTCCAGTCCTAGGAAGATGACGCTGAGATACGTGAGCATGCAGCCCACGATGATCAGGTTGTTAAGGTGTGGGGATGACATTTTTATATACCTAACAAAACATATTATATACCTGATAAAACATTTGCATCTTAATTGAATATTAATATACTAGCAACTCACCCTCGCTTCGCTCGGGTTTGTCCCTAGGTACGTTTTAATTTTTTTAAGCGAACCCTAATTCTATTTCTAAAATAAAAGTAGCATTTGTTACTTCCTATAACATTCGCTATCTTCCAGTGAAAGCCCCGTCAAAATCAGTCCAGCCGTCCAGTAGAGATTATCACAGACAGTACAGACTCTTCAGTTCTATTTATCTGTATAGATTTTTTTAGTTGATAATTTCATTAAAAATATACGAGTATTGGTTTATTAAAATATATAAGCAAGGATATAATGTAGTAATGTATTAATACAAATTATGTATTTCTGATGATTATCATCATTATGTATAAGCACAGTTTATAAAACGATACTATAACAATCTTATGAGATAGAATTTTTCCTTATAATTTATATAGTACATATATCACATAAGGTTACACTTATTCATTAAAATGTAAATAATCATGAATATAGATTTACGACTGACTAAATCAAGAAACATACGCAAATAGAAAAAAATCAAAAACATGTACTTGAATTGAGTACCACCATTTTGGAATTGAATACCTCGTCCCTTTTTTTTAAATCGATGTAATAAAGTTACACACGGTCCTACCTCTGATTCCTGTAGTGTATGTTCATAGCGAGGAAGCCGGTGGCAAGCAGGATACCGAGCACGGAACACGACACCAACACTGAGTAGATCGTGATGTTCACTTGAGTGTGCTCGATCAGGCGCAGAGTGCGATCTTTTGGGGGGTTCCTAGGGATTTAACAATAATAATAATCATAATATACAGTACTAGCGACTCACCCTCGCTCTGCTCGGGTTCTCCCCTGGTTACTTAAAAAATTGGGGGTGGGGGTAGGAGGATGAAAAATACTTTACGACCTATTCTCATATCTACCAAATATACAAAAAAATCTCATTAAAATCGGTCGAGCCTTTTCGGAGGAGTGCGACCACAAACACCGTGACACGAGATATTTATATATTAGATTGTACACCTAGAGATAGAGCAAAAAAATATAATCTTATATTGGAGATGTAAGTTTTTAATAAAGCGATTTATTAGGGTATTGTCTACCGAATTGTTAACTATCTTGAGCAGTTTGAGTTTGTTTTATTTTTAACTAGCGATTTATCCTTGCTTCATTCGGGTGAAATATAAGGTCATGAATTTTATTGCTTATGGTATCCCTTGTGTTACTTTGTGCTAAATCTCATCTAAATTCGTCCAGCCGTTTCAGCGTGAAGAAAAAACAAATGGATATGCGTACAAGCTTTCACTTGTATAATAGTAGTGAGTTTAACTTTATTAAACTACCTAGTAAGTTTTATTTGCAATCTAAATATTTCACTTATGATTAATTAATACAAACTAAACGATAATATTCCAAAACATCCCATCAAAACTTACTTTCCAATCCACTTAAAGGGCTCCCCACTGTTGAGATCCAGGCGGTCTCTCTCCGCGCAGTACTCCCCCACCTTCACCTCCCCCACCATCTCCCCTTGAAACTGCTTTAGCAGGATTGACGCTTTGCGCTCGTTGTCATAAAATCGCACTGGACCCTGGGAAATAAGATTTAGCTACAATTTCGCTGAGTTTGTAGAAGAAACATGACTCTTAATATCTTTTATTTTTCGAACTCTTTCAAACTCCATATCAAATTTTATATGTTGTACTCACAGTAACTCCTTCAAAGGTAACGTTGCTCAATGCATCTAGGAATAGCTGCTCCCATTCCTTATCCCGATATCTGAAATCTTGTACTGTCTTTTCCTTGTATTTCAACTTTACTCGATGTGCTACGGTTTGAATGGCTAGTGCCATTGCCCAAATACCTTAAAATATAAAAAATATTACAAAAAAGAGACTAAGCTACAAATTTTAAGAACATCTCCTTATTTATTCCCACTAAGCGACGAATATCTAAAAATTCTTTCTTGAGTAATATTGTAAGAAATTCTTGTGCACTTGTAGTTTGTTTTGTGGTAGTGTTTATTTTTTTAGTTTTCCTTACCAATGCAGCTTACAATAAAAAACAGTCAACAAAAAATATTGAATTTTAAGTTAAAATATAACAACCTACCATCATAAGTATACCCGTGGAACCGGGAATACTCAACGCCTCGTCTTCGGTCGTACTCCACTTGGTAATCTTTAGCCGTCTGAAGTTAAAAAATAATATTTTAATGTACATTTGATGCCCGTGCCCAGCAGTGGGACGTTAAAAAGGACTGAATACAGATTCTTTATTGCATATTAACAGAGTATCACAGATAATACAGAGACCAATGTGGGCAAATACATACATAACAAACAAATACATACATACATACATACATACATACATACATACATACAAGAATGGAATACATGTAATATGACAAAACTTACAATGCCAGAGACAGTAGTCTCTCCGGTAGTAGACAACGGTAACAGATCAGTGAGGATGGTGGTGTCCAAGGCAGTGCTCAGCTCCCGCCGAGAGCACGGCGCGCGCCGCGTCCACCACTTATTGCTATATGTGCCTAGCAGTAGCCAAGTGTACGCACGTCCATACATTTCTAACCTTTGGTAGGAATAAAACATAATAAGAAACTACTATTGTAAAACAGAAAGTTTGTATGCGTGTGTGTACGTTTATTAATTCTTCGAGTTCAAACAGCTGAACGGATTTGGATAAACTATAATAGACTACAATAATTAGTAGTAAAATTTTCAAAAAGTAGCGCTATTTGTACCTATATAATATTAAAAATACAATAACAATAAATGAATTGGCCGTTTACAAAAGTTAAAAACTGATGAATTAAAAAATTCGTGTTGTTTTCATGTTAAAATGGAGACTTTGTTTAGCTTTTACGCTTATTGCAATCCAAAGTGTCTAGAAATATTGGGCTCAATAATTATTAAAATATGATGTTGACAGATTATTTACATCCATGTAATGATGATCCATGATTGTAATTATGTATATCTGTATTTGAATTTTCTAAATTTAAAAAAAAAAACTAACTTATACGCTTCGCAGAATATATTCAGGGCCCAAGTTTCGTTAAAATTTCCAAGAATTATCCGAACGTCCTTCTCTTTCAGTTTGGATAGTGCTGTCTTCACTTCAGTTGCAAAGCTTTGAGATTCATCTACTAAAAAGTTTGCAGAGTCTAGGTCTGCTAATAAACGATTGTGGGCCTGAAATAACGATTTTTCATATAAAACATATTCTAACAGGTGACCTTTTATGAAAGTTAGCATATTTGAATATGGGCCAGCACAAATTATTATAAGTAAATAAATGAAGACGTCTATCAAAAAAGTACTAGATAGCGAGAGAAGATAGATACACAATCAGCGACCAAAAATGTCCTCACCTAATGAGCGCTCATTTGAACATCTGAGCGCGCTTTTTTTGTGAAAATAACTTTAAGCATTACATTTAAGGTTCAATTTACATTGTTGTATATTTATTTGAACTATAATCATTACCTAAACATAATTTGTGACATTTTTAGGCGAACTTCTGTATAGAATTGTGTATATAGTACTTTTTTTATCGATGAATGGCGGGGCGGTCTCGTTGATGAAGATGGAATAAAAACCAATTTTCAGATAAAATACGACACTCAGCTGTGTATTATGCATTGAAAGACTAAAATTTTTAGTAAACAGTATGCAGTTTATTATTAGCCTGTATTAAGTTATAACCTTTATCTAAGTTAAAATTATAAAATCAATAAAAATATATTATGGAAATTATGTAAGTAATAATAAGTGCCTTCATATATTTCACTCACCAAAGCATATCTAGGTTCATTCTGGTAGATAGTCCCAACCCTTGTCCAGTTAAAATGTTCCAAGAGCCGAATTCGAGGCATATTAAATGCATTTTCCGAGGGCACGATTCGAAAGAAATTGGGAAAAGCCTCCTTTGTAAACATTGGATGAGTATCAGCGTATGATAGCTGAAATAGATAAATATTATATAATAGCGAATCATTCTCGCTTTGCTCGGGTTAGAAATCACTTTTTTTATGAACCGATTGAAATAAAACAAATATTAAGTGAAGCTTACCACAATACATTAGTGAAAATCGCACCCAAATCAGTTAAGCCTTAATGAGATTAGCGCGCACAAACGCACATAGAAACGGACAAAAATTCTAAAAATCATTTGCGTTAATAAAGACTTACAATAATAGTTTTTCTCAAATAACTTCCATGTACAGTCAGCGATCAGTTAGTTTTATTATATGTACCGATAAATCATAATATTAGGTACCTATCTAGACATTCATTAAAAAATTGTATTATGAATCCGAAAAATCTAAAAACACAACAGATCCCCATCTGAATATTATATTAAAGAAGTTTATAAATTACTTTAGTCTAAATATTTTGGACAACTAGAACTTCTCTTTTTCAGGTTTTCAGGTTTTAAGAAAATATTCCCCTTTTGGAACCAATGTTAATTAGTTGTGAATGATACCTATTGTTGTTACCTGAGTAAGATGCCAATGTTTTGATGCTTTAGCGATTGGGTCAGTCACGTGCGTGCAGGCTGCGCCGAACAACATCAGCTTGTGGGGACCGCTGTGCATCATGTCGAAAAATGACTTCACACCAACCGCTGCATTGCACTGATAAAGAATATTTTTTTTTAATCTTTATTTTAAAAGGGGTTTGGTCACAAAGTGATCATGCCACCCCTATAGGAACAACTAAACATAAGGAATACAATTTCCAATAATCAACCTTATAAATAACATAAATTAAGTATTTCTATGTCTTAATCCGACTTGTACTACTTTATACAACATTCTTGACTGATTCGATATAGGATCGGCCAGAATGCTGTTAAAAGCTCCTATGTCTAATAAATTAATATTAAATCTTAATAAAGATAAAGAATATTTAATTATTTGTTTTCCCTCAACTTAACTTTAATGGAGAGTTCCTGCAAAGACATTTTCAATGACCTAAGTCAGCGGGTAAACCATTCTACGCAACATTTGCTAAGTAAACTATGCCCAAATGGCACACATATAAAGCACACAGAACAAAGAATTGATTTAATTTCAAACTGTGGTTATAATTGCTTTTGAAAATACAAGGTAGCACTACAGAACCATTTTTATTTGAATTGATTTAATTTGTAGTTACTTTAACCGTTGCGTCAGATCGTTTAAGTGTAACTGCGTAGATATAGTAGGTATACTGTATACATGTAAATAAACCGCTGTAACTTTATAAGTATCAGAGATAATAAAATCAGTAATGCTAGATTCGCACGATACATTTTATTGCCTTCCTGTAGTTTATATGGTAAACCTAATCGATTTTCTAAAAACCTAAAATACTGAATTAGTAACTTTGCTACAAGTAATAACTTGACAGATGATGGAGCTAGCGAGTTCGATTTTCACTTTTCACAAAGAGCTTTTATGTTTGTATTGTATTCACCTTTGATCAACAGTAGTATTGTTGACCGAAGGTATTGACAAATAAAAATGTTCGTCCTGATTCCTCTGCACAGTTTTTTTCAAACGAAGAAACGAGCGAGTTAACATTACACTTTCTCAATTCATAATGATCTAAGGAAAAAATTATGTATAGATAGTCTTAGTAGGAATGTATTTGATAAAATTCAAGATTCCACTTTATCATAGTAACGAGCTTATTATCACCATCCCTAAAAATCCCTTCATCATGACATTCTCTCACCTCAGTATCATTCCACCACATGTGAAGTCTGTAATTCCTTAAGACGGAGTCGTGTTCGTTGACGTGGTCCAGCGCCAGCTTGACGCTCGGCATCACACCTCGACCTACAGCGGTTTTAGCATAGCTTTGGTACTTAGCTCTTTTAGAAATAGTATGGAATAGCGACTCAACCTCGCTTCACTTCGGGTTCGTCTCTAGACAAAAACAAATATATCCCACGGGAACCCTACATTTTCCGGGATGATATATAGCCTATAGCCTTCCTGAATAAACAAGCTATCTAGTGCAAAAATAATTTTTCAAATCGGATTATATGATAGTTCCTGAGATTACCTCGTTCAAAGAAACAAACAAACTGTGTCTCATTACAATATTAGTATAGATTATGAAATATTTGTTTGAAATAAAATATGTAATAGTGAATAATCAAACAACGTATTCCGATAAGAGATAGATTCCCAAGGGACGGGTTAGTTTGTGAAGTTATTATGTACTAATGAAGACCATATTATTCTACCTATCTTATCGGAAAAACGTAAAAGTTCCAGCATATAATGAAATTGCTTTAGATACTTTTTGGATTTCTAGAATGAGTTCTGGGTATCGCAATTAAGATTAAGTAGGTACTAATTTAGTACAGAGAGACTGTTGTGCATGTGAAATCCATACATATAAATATAATTGAAGTGTCTGTTTGTAATGTCAAAATAAAAGCATTTTACTAAAGGAAGGCATATGATATATGGTACTAATAAGAAAAAAACAATTTTAAACTTTTTATGTGTTTGTCTGTTCCGGCTAATCTCCGAAACGACTTGACCGATCTTGACGAGAGTTTCACTAGCAAATGCTGATATTTTAAGGAGTAACTTACATTTATTTTAGAAAAAGAAACAGGGTTCCGCGTAAAAAAATTTAAAACCCATGAAATTGTTAACATGATCGTACCTCGTTACGCACCAGAGCGAAGCGAGGGTAAGTCGCTACTCTTATTCTATAAATAAATAAATTTAAGCAATAATCCATTAAATCTGCTAAAAGCATTATCTAAAGATACCAGTATTTGAGTTTTCCACTCCCTTCCCGAAGGGGAAGAAGCCGGCGATGTAGACGTCCGTCCGACGATTTAGGATCGCATCCAAATTTGGCTTTTGAGGTACACCCATCACGACACTCAGTGATAGCAGGATGATCATAGTTTTCATTTTTGTTTCTATATAAACAATTTATTTTTTGAAAATAAGGGGTAGTTTAAAATAGCTTCGTTTATATTTTTAAATATATGTAATTAATGTTAGTAAGTAAATTTAAGTATTTATTAAAAAGCAACTTTTCATTTGTGATTGTGTGATTGTAATTGTGTGATTGTGATTGTAAGAGTGTGATTTTGTCAAATATACAAGATTTGTTTTAAATCACATTATATTCAGCCTTTTAAAGGTCTCACTGCTGAGCCTTTCATACGAGGTGGATCAGTCCATAGACCAGAACTAAGTACATTAAACTTCATTGATTAGTAGGTATTTTATTTATTTGACATAAATTATATACATCGATACCTTATGTACCTACTTACTATTTTAACAGGTTTTTTAGATAATTATAACAAAGTTAATTTTTATTATATCCTCATGCCATTGATAAAAGTTTTATAATACATATACATATGTAAATATACTCGTAATTCTCACAAGGAATAATTTAGTAATTTACGGGACCTTGCATTAAAATCACAGAAAATTACTGATCCTGATAACCCCGCCATAAATATTTACGAGATGTGATTATAGTCGGATATGGCATTTATTATTTAAATTTGAATTAAATAATAAATTTGTTTCTCCCTTTAGGCTTCGCCGAAGTCAGGTAAAAAGACATAGGTACATACATAATAATAAAAAAAATATTATTATCGCCAATTTCACATTTTACAATGTTAGAAAATTTTCATCATTAATTAAAAATTAAAATTCTAAAATAACTCACCTGCCATTACGGTTACGAGTAAACTATTCATATTCTATTATATACACGGAATACCACTGTCCGTTCGTCACAAAACCTTCATAGAACTGATTATTAGAACACTAGATATAAATTTGTACTTGTTAGAACTCATTTCATCAGTAAGACGCCTTACTGAAACCACAGTTTCAGGTTGAACAAGATTCAACTACCCTTACATCTTTGACACGATAATATGAACTTTAGCACATAAAATTACGGTATATTATTGCTTATCACGTAAGGCTTTAGATAAAATGATAACGTCGTATATTAAATTGGTATAGCAAGATAAATTACATTTTACTTTAAAGGAATAAGGTTCATTTTGGACTAAATATGACATTACATAAGGTAGAGTTGCGTGAATAAAGTTGAGCAAATAGACAGAATTAGGCTTTGCCGGGGCGAATCGATAGAGGGTGGGCTTTTAGGGTAGTGTTGTAAATAAGTAATATCGATATACTTTTAAAATGCACTATTTTTTTAATTTATTTTAATCTACAGTTTAATCTACATAATACACTGGCGTGCAAAAAAAACGGGCCACCTAGAGAAAATGGACAAACTTAAGATATGATATTTTTTTTATTAATTATGTTATTATATATGGGTAGCTGTATACCCTAGGTACTTAAATCAATAATCGTTGAATAATTTAAATTAAAATTATTGCTCGAAAATAGAGGAAAATCAAATTTAATGATTTTTCGCGAGTTTGGTATAAAAATGTAAGCCGCAAATTAATGGGAAAATTAAGAGATTTCGATTGGTTTTATGATTTTTAAAAATGCGTATTACCGCCTCTATTTTTAATTACAGCTTTTAATCGGTTTTTCAGAGATTTGACACACTTTTTTAGATAATCTTGTGTAATAGATTCCCATTCTTCCAATAAGGCGCTTTTTAATTCTTGAATATTGCTCGGGACTACTACGCGACTTCTAACATTTCTTTTGAGATGGTCCCATACATGCTCTATCGGATTGAGGTCAGGGCTTCGCGCTGGCCAGGCAATAGTAGACACTCCGACCTCTTAAAGATACTGCCTTACTGATGTAGCAGTGTGTGGGCGAGCATTATCTTGTAGAAGCAGAAAATCTTCTCCAATGAACCCAGTAAAAGGCATCACATGATCTTCTAAAACCTCCGTTATATACCTAGCGGCTGTAAGGGATCCATTTTCTATGAATATAAGCTCGGTTTTCGCTTCGTAACAGAATCCTGCCCAAAACATAACTGAGCCCCCTCCATATGACACTGTTTCCCACATAGTGCATGGTGCATATCTTTCACCTGGTCGCCGGTAAACAAAATTACGGCCGTCGGCACCATGCAAACACATTCTGCTTTCGTCAGTAATAAGAACCTTCTTCCACTGCTCCAAATTCCAATTCACGTGATCTCGGGCAAAAAGTAATCTTACAATTCAATGTGCAGGGGTGAGTTTGGGGCCAGTTGCGGACTTGCGTGGCGTCAGGGAAGCGGCTCTAAGTCGGCGCCTTACTGTCCACTCGCTAACATTAACACCTCTCACTTCTCTTAGGAGATTTCGAACGTCAACTCCTGTGCGATGACGATTTCTTAGAGCTGATGACACAATAAATCCATCATCACGCTCTGATGTGGCTCTTCGTCGGCCGGAACCATGTCGTCGTACAAAGCCACCAGTCTCTATGTAACGTTTGTACACTCTCTGGACCGTAGAACGGCTCACAGAAAAAGCTTGAGCCACTTGACGTTGACTTTGTCCAGTTTCAAGCAAAGTCACAATTCGAGATGATTCAGCCTCGGTCAGATCCATCTTGAAGTATTTCTAATAAACGCAGATCAAAGTAGAAGTGTCTTGTTCAATAATTGGAACTCAACTAAGCTTCTAAAATAACAAAAAACAGTATTTGTGGCTTCAATCCATATTATGCAAATATTCACTAATTACTGCTAATTGACTATAATTAAGCGCACACGTGCATTTCCAAGAATTTTTTGACTTTTTGAAGGAAACAAAGGCGTCTAATCTCCTTAATTACCTTTGCGGTATTTTTTTTCACCACACAATTGTCAACAAAAAATTATGCTTAAAATTAAGGGTGGCCCGATTTTTTTGCACGCTAGTGTATATCAACTGTTGTACAATTTTGAGCGCACGTGTTTTTAAAAATACATTGTTTTCAAATGCTTTATTTATCAAATCATACAATTAATTTATAGAATAAAATGTATGCCATCGTTGTCAAATGGAAAAGTAACATTTACTGTCTGAATGATTTTTATTTGCATTTTGATCCAAAGTATTCCGTATTCATAATAATCCTTATAATTTGCAACAAAATATACCTGCAACCTTTTATAATGTTTAAATTAAATAAGCCATAATATGAAAAAGATTTTTTTCGTTCTTATTTATAGTGTATATATTATAGTTCCAGGGTGGATTCAAATGAACAAAAACACATACATACTCCTCATCTTCAATTACGTAATACGTCATGTGTATCAAGATGTGGGTCATTTTAATTTGTTTCATTTATAACTATCAATAGGTGACAAGTGTATAAATTGACAACACCATTTCCTATTTATTGAAATTCTATTACTATGTGGTCTTTTTATCATAAATATATTAATCAAAATAAATTATATATAAAAAATATTTAAAAAATTAAAATTATTAAATTATATAAGATTTATCGACACGTCTCATCTCTAAAAAAAGTTTTGTTGCGCATGCGTATTACTTATGTTAAATCTACGCAGGGCTGGAACAAAGTCCCAGGACGTCAGTATTATATCAAAAATTCATACTGATAATCAACATTTTCATGAAAAAAAAAGTATATTTTTGTTAATTTTTATGATAAAATAGTCTATAATTTAAAAAAGGGATATGGAAAACTGGAACTATATTTGTTTATTTTTTTGACACATTTATGACACGTTTAATTTTCATTCGTACATAAACTTGATAAACTTTAAAAATTTCTTGGTTTAAAAAAAATATAAATAAATTACTTTTGCATTTTTGGAATAATCAATTAAATTGCAAAATAATTACCCATGAACAAGCAAAAGCTAGCGCTATGACAATATGAGTAAGATTTAAATTCATTAAGTCCTATTTAGCATAATTGACATTCCTAATTGGACGTTGCCATGTTAGTAATTGCGTTCCATTTAAAACAGTCTTTTTTAGCAATATATAATTAATATATTAAACATAATCATTTAAATATTTTATGTTATATTTTAAATTGTGTAAAAATTAATTTTTAAGATTATATTTAAGATCAATTTTATTCCGAAATATTTAATAAACTATTAAAACAAAGAAAATGTTGCTTCGTTTCACGTAATACTATAGGAATTTGAAAAGTTCCACATAAGCGAAGTGACGCTGACAACACCGTCAGAATACGTGGCCCGTGGTTCTGTGGAATAGATGTGCATTGTTTATATTTTTAATTATAAATTTTCGCTGGAAAATATACTGGAAGCTGTAAGTACACATTCTTTCATAATTAATGGTTAATTCTGTATAAAAATTACTAGAGATATCATTGTTGATCTAAGCAAAATGTATCATGAAAAATGAGACAGCAGCTGTCAAAGTATTATTCAGATGATTTTTGAGCAATTTTGTCGTATTTAGGTATACTTTTATTATATTTTCAATTATTTAAAAATAAAGGTCTATTGAACCACCCCTATATTATAAGAAAATATATAAAGATACTTGATATAGACTCATAATCGTAGTTCAGATTTATTAATTTTAATAACGATCACTAACAAGATGTAGTATACAATAATTAGACTATACCATACACTGATAAGATTTCCTGCAAATACCATATACCACCAGTAGAAAATATATGACAGTGTAAAATATTCTTATATGAGAACTGAATAAATGACCCACATTCTTTCTTATCAAAGGATACTTGATATGGCATAATATACTAATAACAGGGTAATTATTTCCGTATCATTGACCCTTTTAAATTATTTTTCTTCTTTAACATGTACAAGATTTAATATTTTGCTTAAATTTTAAACAAAATTTTATATAACATTATGAAAAAAATAAACATTTAAATACTATTAGATTATCTCAATATCAATTTTTATTATGTTATATAATTTAAATAAAATATTTTTAGTAAGATAATTAGTTCTGTGTATCAATTAAGTGCTCAGTGGGTAAATGGATTCTAATTTTACTAACATATATTTACTAAAAAATGAAGAATATATTATATAAAACTCTTACAGTCGTCCTAGATTATACTTTATCTATTTGGATTTAAAATTGTGGTTTAAAAAGGTTTTATGTGTAAACTATATACTTTATAGTCATGCTCCATAATTTGCTTAGTAAATAGGAAAGAAATAGTGAAACTAATTTCATTCTTTGCTGATACAAAATGAAAAATTTTAATACTTACACTAAGATTTGACAAGGCAGCAATCTTTGGTTATAACTCTTGAGGTATTTATTAAAATGTTATATATTTTTCAAATCTATACATATATTCTGATAGTAGTTTTTGCTTGTGGATTTTTATTGACAATATACAGTTCTTAAGAAATTAATAAAAGCATTGGTGTAACATACATCCTAAGTGGGTCAAGCTTCTAAAATTTAAGTTATTACCTAATTACCTAAGTGTGCTGAAGCTGTTTAATATAATAACTTTATTGTATTTATTTTAAGTCTGTTTTCCAATTAACATTGTATTTAAAAATCTATCTTCTGAATGACAAACTACTACATTTTTATGCATTCCTATGGCTTTCTAAGACAACATTTACAGTGATTTTAAACAACATTGTGACCGTACTCCTACCATCTTCATAATTAAAACAATACAAATGAATATATTAAATGAATAATCTTTGAAGAGATTGGATGACTTTTTTAATTAAGTATTTTTTTTTTTCAGAATAGTAGGCTTCATTCAAGATGATGAATCCACAGTATCCACCTCCCGGGCAAAATAACAATGCGCCAAACAATCCATTGGGCTTCCCACCAACATCTCAGGAATATAATGGTGTCCAAAATGCTAATATTTACAATCAAATGCCTCCAAATGGGCCCCAGTCAGATGTGTCTCAAAAGATGCAAGGTCTTAATTTAAATGGACAACAAGGTCCAAATATTCCTTCATCTCAATTGCCTCCTGGACAGTTTCCAACTTCAAATTATGCTCTGACTTCCAATTACAGTGGGCAGTTACCCCCTGGTGTGAAACCTACATTCCAGCAAAGCAGGCCCCCTGTAAGCAGTGCACCTCAACAATTTTCACCTATAAATCAAAACTTTTTACCTCCTTCTTCAACCCCAGGGTCTGTATCACAAGCGCAAGGCTTTCCACCAAATCAACAATTCCAACCTCCTACTTCAATGCAACAAGCGGCTCCAAAACCTCAACAAGGTCAAGGTCCACCATCCCAACTTGGACCACCAACTTCTATGGCACGATCTGGACCTCCTGATCAATCAAATCCCGGTATGCTCCCTCAAATGGGACCTCCCCAAGGTCTCCAAGGACCCCCTGGTATGCAACAATCTCAAATGAGAGGTCCTGAACAACAAGGAATGCAACAACCTCAAATGAGAGGTCCTGAACAGCAAGGATTGCAACAACCTCAAATGAGAGGTCCTGAACAGCAAGGAATGCAACAACCAGGCCCTACATCAAATTTCCCTGGTCGTACGTCACAAGGGCCTGGTCAGCAACCACAACCAGGTCAAATGTCAAATTTACCTCCTCAATCTATGTCAGGTCAGGGGCCTCCTGCTAATCCACCAAATTTTTCTCAATCTGGCCAAATGCCTAGTCAGCCTGGTTTACCACCTCAACCTGGTATGCCACCACAGCCGAAATTACCACAATCAAGCCAACCTGGCATGCCACCTCAGCCAAGCAATATGAGCCAATCTGGTCAATCTGGTATTCCACCACAGCAAGGTCTGAGTCAACCCGGCTTACCATCACAACCTGGGCAATTACAACAATCGGGTCCACAATCTTCTGGTTTAAGACCACAAACTGGACTGCCACCTCAACCTAACCAAACCCAACCAGGCTTTAGTCAACCTGGAATGCCACCCCAATCTGGCATGCAACCTCAGTCAGGTATGCCGCCTCAATCTGGAATGCCTTCGCATCATGGAATGCCACCCCAACCAGGCATGCCACCTCAACCTGGCATGCTATCTCAACCCGGTATGCCACCCCAACCTGGTATGCCACCTCAACCTGGTATGCCACAACATCCCGGTATGCAGCCTCAACAAGGTCTACCGTCACAACCTGGCCTTCCTCCACAACCCGGTATGCCGCCACAACCCGGTATGCCTCCTCAACCTGGCATGTCTCAACCTGGACTACCACCACAACCTGGAATGCAGCAAACACAATTTACCAACCAATTCCCGTCTATGCCTGGCTTACCACACATGCCGCCACCATTAAGTCAACAACCGAGACAGTTTCAAGCACCACCTGGAAACCAACCAGGATATGGACCACCACCTGGACAGCCACCTAATGCACAATATCCTGGTAAGTAAATTTTGACGAATAATAAATATATAATCTTAAATGTTATGACGAATAATAAATAAATAATTAAAAATATTCACAGATAAAAAAATGATTTTTTTTACTAAATGTACAATTGTAAAACAATATATTTTACATAAATCAAATAAAAAGTCATAAATGTATTTATAAAGTGAAAATAATATTTTTCTTTTTATTTATTTATTTATTAATAGTAATATTTTACCAACAGAAAAAGCAAAAATAATCAAATATAATCTGTTGTCATTTAAGCGGTAATATAAAACAAAGTGTCAGTTTTGCTTTTGTCAAAATGTAAGATCATTTTGTTTGTGTTGTGAAATTATTAAAATATTAAATACAATAAAGCATTAATTGTTGTGAAAATGTGTAATGTACATAAAAAAGGATGCGTACTATTCGTTAAAGGTATGTTTATCTGTTGTAATCACTTATTTAGGTAAAGAAATGTATGGAAATGTGTTAGATATGTTATAACTTTAAGTCTCAATAACTTTTTAGTCGTACGTTTCCTCCAAATATTTTTAATATATTTTGACTCTCTGTCACCTCCCCTATCTAAAAATACCACCCACTCCGAATGGTGGTAAAGAAATATATGAAAATGTATGGAAATGTTGTAACTTTAAGTCTCAATAACTTTTGAATCTTTTGTTGTATTAAAAAATTTATTTAACATTTCGAGTCCCTATCACGTCCCTTATCCAGCAATACCACCCACTCCGCTAGGGGCCAAGTCCCCAATTCTGAATTTGTGCCGTAAATTTATTATTTTAAAATAAAAGCTGTATCATATTAGATCATTGTCGTGTTGTTTTCTTTAAAACATGGGTTTTTCTTACATCTTCCTTAGTAAATAAATGTGAAAAGTGTGTTTGCTTATTTGTTCGTTTGTGTGTTTCTATACATAGCAACAGAGAACGTGTGACGTTATTTTTCTATAGTGATAATTTACAGATGAGAAAGTTATACTTAAACTAACTTTTTTTTATATATCAATATAACATAATCATCCCTATTTCTAAGGTATGCCTCCCCAACCCCAGCCACAAGCTGGTTACCCACAAGGACCCGGATACCCGCCATTCCCCGGTCAACAACCCAGCTACAACACGCAATACCAACAGCAACCGCCCCAAAAGAGACTGGATCCTGATCAAATGCCTAGTCCCGTGAGTATGGAAAGGTTTTAAGCTGTATATTGTAATCTTTTGAGACGATTGAAACTAACTTCGCTCGGGTTTGTTACTAGATAACTTTTGTATTAAGTAATGTCACCATTTGTGTAAAATTAATAAACACCCATGACTGGAGGACAAACATTCGTGGTCCTCACACAAATGAATCCCTCCAGCGGGATTCGAACCCGCGACCGCTGGCACAGCAATTCTATAAGAGTATCTGTGTACAAAACATTCAAATCCAACTCGTCACTTTAGCATGACAAACATACACGTACATTTTTTTATATTGTAACAACAGTAGTATGATGAATAAAGTTTATACATTTTTTATTTATTTTTTAGTTAAGTGTGAACAAGAATTCACTCGTAAAGTGTAAATAAATACATTTAAAGTAATTTTGAAAGTTAGAACCTTTTTAGTCAAAAAATAATTATTTTAATTTTGATAGAGATAGTTGAAACATAATTTTTCCTATATAGATTCAAGTAATGGCCGATGACCAACAAAATCGTGGAGGAGTGTTCGTAACAAATGAAAAAGGTTTGGTGCCACCTCTAGTCTCTACAGACTTCATTGTCGATGACAAAGGCAATGCAAGTGAGTATTAAAAACTACATAAACTACAATATACATATAATATTATTTATTTATTTATGTACAATAAAAATACATATAAATACTGAAAACGATACCTTGTGTTCCAAGGATGAATTACATCTTTAAGAGGTCTTTACCAGAAACCCTCCATTGTTAGAAAAAAGTAAAATAATTCGGTGTGGTGTAGATAAAAACTAAAAACATCCATATAAATATACAAACTTTATGTATGTATTGCAAAACTTTATTTTGTCATACTAAATGCTGTAAACTACAAATAAAGAAAAAACTCACAAATTTAAAAGTGGTATTTTTCCATCACAGAAGATAAAACAAAAAATAACAATAAGTAGTTTTCAGTGAACACTTGGAGGGTAGCTTACAAAAAAAGTACAAAAATCAAAAGTTCTAATTGTCTAAACACAAATTCGAACTTGCACACACACCACCACATAAAGTACTTTTTTAAACGAAACAACGTGCGTTGTAATTTTGTCATTTAAAAAGCATTGAACAAAAGAGATTTGAAAAAAGCATATAATTACGAATTTTGTGCTTATTTTTAAGCACCCATTTACATTTGAGACGCTAATTGTGTATCTTAAGTTTTTGTATATAAATTATAGTGATTGAATAGTGTATACAATTTTAGATAGCCTACTAATGAATATTTGTTAAAACTGGGAGTCGAAGAACTTTTAATAAAGTAAACTCTTTTTATTATGACAAAATCTTTTAAGCATTTAAATCTACAAAATTAAATTACTTTTTTAGGTCCTAGATACATAAGGAGTTCTATGTACAGTGTGCCTGTCACCGCTGACCTCCTCAAGCAGACCTCGATGCCATTCTGTTTAGTTGTAAGTACTATTTTTGTTCGATTGGTAACATTGGCAACATTGGTCTGTATTATAAATATAAACATCAATGACTTGTGTACAAACATTCGTGCTCATTACACAAATTAATGCCCCAGAACCTGAGAGCGCTGACACAGCAAGTAGGATCACTACAAACCAAGCCAAACGTGTCGTCAAATAATAGATAATCAATAACTTTCCTCAATATCAGCCAAATGAATGATTCAAAACCTTCAGTGAAATTAAAAAAAAAACTATACAGTATTATTATATTACTAAGTAGCGAATTAACTACGCTCCGCTTGAGTTCATTCCTAGTTACGTTTTAGCGCTTAGTATAGATTTCTCAGAGATGAGGTATTTAACTGCATTAAAAGGAACCTATAAGTTGACCCGGATAACCAGCTACCATCATACCAAATGTCATCAAAATCTGTCCAGTGGTTTTCTCGTGATGCGTTCCCAGACAGACAGACATAAATTCTAAAAACTATAAATTCGGCCTCTGTATCAATAATAATGACTATTTCATTAAAAAATTTCAAAAAATATTGAATGTACAGATTCGACTCAGAATTTTATTATATGTATAGATACCATATTCATTATCTAACTAAGTATACTAACTATAATAACAATAACTGCTTCATATTGTACCTAATAAATTACACCAAATTACAGATATCCCCAATGGCGGATACGGTGGGGTCGGAGCTGGAGCCCCCCGTGCTGGACTTCGCGGCGCTCTCGGGCTCTCCGACGCTGGGCCCCGTGCGCTGTTCCCGCTGCAAGGCCTACATGTGCCCTAACATGAAGTTCATAGACGCAGGCAGACACTTTAAGTGTGCCTTCTGTAAAGCTACTACAGAGGGTGAGTATTCAGCCTTATTTACCGTCCCACTGGTGGGTGTAGGCCTCCCTTCAATACGAGGAGGATCGGGCCATAGTCCACCACGCTGGCCAAGTGCGGGCGGAATTCACATTTCTTTCGACAACTTGCTAGGTTCTCTCAGACATGCAGGTTTACTCACGATATTTTTTTTCACTATATGGCAAGTGGTTATCATGTTGGAAATGATTCGCACATGAAAATATCAGAGATGCGAGATCTGGGATTTGAACCCGCTTTACTTGGTTTCCCAAGCGAGTGTGTTACCACTGGGCTACCACTGCCTTCATAATCTCATATTTTTACCATTTTAAAAAACCATAACAATACATTTCAGTGCCAATGGAGTACACGCAGTACATCAACAGTATGCAGCAGTACGGCCGCGTGCCGGCGGAAATGGCGCTCGGCACCTACGAGATTGTGGCCACCAAGGAGTACTGTCGGGTGAGCTACATTCAACCTTATGTTGTTGCGATTAGAATTGGGGTTTATCAGATTTTGTGTGTATTTCCAATTGTTCATTGATTTCTATTTTCACCCTGAGAGTGACAGTCAATTTTATGCGATGGGGATTAGAGTTGAGTTTTGCGTGTATTTATAATTGTTAATTTTATTTTCAAACCTAACCTCTAAGGTTAGGTTTGGTTACTTCGAAGACCTTTGTTTTTATTTTATAATGCTTGAACCACTATATGTTATGTTATATTTTAATAATAAATCTATACATATAATAAAATTGTAACTAAGCTGAATCTGTACATTAAATATTTTTTGAAAAATCTTATTGAAATAGACATTATTATCGATACGTCCGTCTGTCCGTCCGTCCGTCCGTCCGTCCGTCTGCCTGTCTGTCTGTTACCACAGGAAAATGTCTCATTTCTGAGAAAAAATACAAAAACTGCAATGTAAGAGTATACTAATATGTAAAACCTAAGAATTTGGTTTTTGGTCGTCTGAACGGGGGCGGAGCTGCGGGCAATGCTAGTTTGAAGTTTTTTCTCCAAACATACACACAGACAAACTTTCACATTTATAATACTCGTAGTTGTTCGATTTTTATAATTTAATTTTGTTTTAAAGTGCTGGAACACCATATTTATTTTAATTATATGTAGTTTAATGAAAAGGGGGTTAAAAATGAAAAAAATAAATTTAAATCGAAAACCCACGTTTGTGTAAGTAATGTTTTATATTATAATAAAATAAAATATATATTTCAGAACAACACCCTTCCAAACCCTCCAGCGGTAGTGTTTGTCATCGACGTCTCCTACAACTCCATCAAGAACGGTCTGTTGCAGACCATCTGTGATAACATTATGGATATTCTTCAGGTAAACTAAATAAATTGTTTCCTTGGTCCTACTAGATACAATGTACGGCTGTAGATCCGAAGGTCATGGGTTCGATGGCCGTCAAATATAGCTAAACACATAATACTTTCATTTGATATTTTAATGAAACTATCTTTTCGGATTTTATTGCCATATTTATTATATTGAGTCTCACGGAAGGGTCTCGTGACCAATAATTGAAAAACCTCATTTATGTCCTTGCTTGATTGCCACCAATAAATATAATATAAATTCAAAAATATAATAAAATGTCTCTAATATGGACTCACAAAGAGGTAAACTTTGTGAGTTTGTGAGATTATGAGTTTGTGACGTTGTAGGGGGTAATCTCTGGATCTACTGAATCGATTCAGATGAAATTTGGTAAGAAGATTATTTGAGACCCTGGGAAGGACATGATGATACATTCTATTCCGGAAATCACCTCTTAAGGGGGTGAAAATGGAGATGAAAGTTTGTATCGGGAAGCAAGCTAGGGACGAACCCGAGCGAAGCGCGAGTGAGTCGCTAGTAATATTATGAAATAAAAACACGGCAAAATCCGAGAAGATAGATTATTACGCATTACAAACTTATTACTTCACTAGCGGTTCACCCTCCCTTCGCTCGGGTTTCGGGATAAAAAGTGTGTGCTTTTCCAGACTATAATATATCTCTGTGCCAAGTTTTATCCAGATCCGTTCAGCCGTTCTGGCGTGATTGAGCAACAAACGTCCTAACATCCAAACACCCATCTAAGATCTACACTTTCACATTTATAATATTATTAAAAAGTAAGATGTGCATTTTTGTTTTAGGCCATGCCGAAGGATGAACAAACAGGCAAGAGCTACACGCGAGTGGGATTCATCACGTACAGCACTACTGTACACTTTTATAATATTAAAGTAAGAAAAAAAAATTAAGTAAAAAAAAAACTTTAAAAAACAATAATTTGATATATGTACAAAGATTTTTTTATCTATTTTTATTTAAAGACTTTTTAAACACAAAGCCACTGATATTATATTCAAATGCGAAAATATTCTTACTAGAATATAAGAAAATCTGATTAGCTATAAATATTTTACCCTTGTAAGTTACAATTTACACTTATAGGAATATTTGCATTCGTTTTAAGTTGCATTTGCTTTAATTTTATTCGTTTAATTTTATTTAAAAAAAAAAAAAAAAAAATTTAAAATTTTTTTTGGCACAGGGCACGCTGGCTCAACCACAAATGTTGTCGGTGGGTGACGTGGGCGACATGTTCGTGCCGTTGCTGGAAGGCTTTCTAGAGCGCCCAGAGGACTCCGGGCAGGTGCTGGAGTCGCTCCTGCAGCAGCTACCGGTCATGTTCCAGAATAACAAGGAGACGGAGACCATATTGTTGCCCGCTGTGCAGGTATGTAGAATGTGCAAGTTCGAAGCAAGTAGGAGGCCTGATTCCCCTCAAATTGAGTGCAAGCTTTTAGCAATGAGAGTATTCAGCTCTTTTTAATGTCCCACTGCTGCACTGTCCATTCAATACGAGGGGGATCAGGCCATAGTCCACCACGCTGGCCAAGTGCGGGCGGACTGAGCATGTCTTTTGGGGAACTTGCTAGGTTCTATCAGACATACAGTTTTCCTCACGATGTTTTCTTTCACCGAAATAATTTCCATATGAAAGTAGGCACAGGTGCAAGACCCTGGATTTGAACCCGCTTCATTAAGTTTACCGAGCGAGCACTTTACTACTGGGTCTACCACTGCCAGCAATAAGACACTACTAGAGCTTATATTCTTATATTATTTTAATTGAATTTCAGGCGGGTTACGAAGCCCTCAAAGCAGCGGACACGTCCGGACAGCTGCTCGTGTTCCACACGTCCCTGCCCACTTTCAACGCTCCAGGCAAACTCATCAATAGAGAAGATAGGAAGTTATTAGGCACTGATAAGGAGAAACAGATTTTGAGTAAGTTATTTTTTATAATTTGATATAGGTGTGTGGTTTTGTGAGTTTTGGTAAAAAATTTTGGAGTCGCAAAGTGAGATTATTTATTTTTAAAATTTAGTATAATATAAGACAGTGAATAAATATGTTTATTAACAAAAAATTGTGTTAAGTAATAGTAAAGTTAATATATACAATACTAGAAGAACTCGCGGCTTCGCTCGCGCTAAAACTAAAAAAAAATCTAAAAAAGTAGGTTTCATACAAACTTTCACGCCTTACCGCCTTACCGCCTTATTGAGTTCATTTCGAAAAATACTAAAACATGTATGATCATAAATAATTTTTTGAGTTGTATTATAGCGTACTTTCCGTGTGAATGAGAAAATCTCCCGCGATAATAAGTAGCCTATGTCACTCTCCAGCCCTCCAACTATCTCTACACAAAAAATCACGCCAATCCGTCACTCCGTTTCGACGTGAAAGAAGGACAAACAAACAAATAAACACACTTTCACATTTATAATATTAGTATGGATTAAAAAAACTTATTGTACCTACTGTTCTAAGTTTGACTGGACACTTTAAATAATAGTTTAATCAAGTTGGTGTGACTTTTCGTTTTAATTCACAATAAAACTTATAGATACAATAAAACCTCTTATAAATATGGCAGCCAACTAGCATAATTAACCGTTCGATAAACAGCCGCTAGTTGAACGGCGCCGTTTAGTTAAGAGACTAGGCTGTTAATCGAACGTCTAATTAAGGTAGCTGGCTGCGACATATACACGGGTGTTGAAAAGCACTAATCTTAATTTGTGAATTCGTTTAATTATTTTTAATTTATATGATTAGTGATTTCTATTCTAAGTGTGAAAAATAATATTTGTAAATCATTGACGTTGTACGTGGTTCCAAAATGTAACATCATAATAAATATGCACACACGGTGTAACCTGTCCACCATCCCCAGGCCCTCAGACCACGGCGTACAACGAGCTGGGGCAGGCGTGCTCGGGCGCGGGCGTGTGCGTGCAGCTGTTCCTCGCCAACAACGCGTACGTGGACGCCGCCACGCTCGGCCAGCTGCCGCGCCTCACCGGCGGCGCCACCTACAAGTACACATACTTCACTGTGAGTCGGCTAATGCTACTAAAATTTGTCACTGGCTATACCTTATATTTGTCTAAATACAGCCTCAGCCTACTTATCTATACGGTCAATAACCTAGACTAATTTAGAACTCGGCAGATTGATGTGTCTCACTGGTGGCGCCACATATAAGTACACGTACTTCAGTGTGAGTCATCTACTGATAATATTTTCTAAATAATTTTCTTTTTTTTTTGTAAAATTAAATAAATTTCTTTTTTTAAACAATTATTGAAGTTAAACTTCTTTAGAATGGTTGTGATTTGAAACTCGATGAAACGAAAATGCGACACTAAAAAGAGACAAACACAAATATATAGCATAAAGCCGGCGAGAGAATAAGATAGAATACATTGCCATGTTGCCATGGTAACCGTATTATTTGAGATAGAAAACATCACACAGCAAGTGAAAACTAATAAAATTAATTACTGAATAATATGTAATGTAAATATATTTATGTCAAATAAAACGTAAAATTACTTTTAAACTTGGTACAAATATTATAAAAAAAATAAACCTTATAATTACCCTACTCCTGATACTCTCTATTCATCTCATTCTCTCGTAGGTTACTTTTCTGAAATTTCACCTCTACCGTGTGTGAATTGCACATACACGCAATTTTTTATTTATAAATTGTGATATATTGTCGGCGTCAGGCGGAGACGGACGGCGCGCGGCTGGCGTGGGACCTGCGGCACGCGCTGACGCGGCGCACGGCGCACGACGCCGTGATGCGCGTGCGCACGTCCACGGGCGTGCGCGCCACCGACTTCTACGGGCACTTCTTCATGTCCAACACTACCGACGTCGAGCTCGCCGCCATCGGTGAGACTACTATATACAATTAATGTTATAATGTTACTGTGAAAATATTCAGGCAGTTATGTTGTCAGTTTGATCTCATATTTGAAAAACAAAACGGGTTCTTATATGTATGACTATATTATTTAAAGTTGTTATTATAAAACTGTTTGTATTTAACAGAGTTATCATGGTTACAGTCTAAGCTTGCAATACCAAATACTTTTTAATTATATACAATTAATATTGCCTGTTATTCTTTCACGCTAAAACTACTGAGCGGATTATGATGAAACTTTCTATTAATATAGCTTATACATGAGAATAATACATAAAAAATTATGTAGTAGTTATAAATAATTGAATTATGCGGATCTACTGCGAAAAATGTTAGTCCATTCGTCTATCAATGGCAAGGAGGTGGGGTGTGAGGGATTGAACGAGAATGTAGCAATAGGTTGCCATACTTAATTTTATATGACATAATAACAGGGAATGGCTTTAGATTTAACGGTTACAACTGTAACATGCCACGAGAAGCAATAAAGTGCTTTAATTTGGAAAATGTTTGCTTTGCATACATCACTATAATATATACCTAAATATAAATTAATAACTCTCCACAGACTCAGACAAAGCAATAGGTGTGGAGATAAAGCACGATGACAAACTAACAGCAGAAGACGGAGTGTACATCCAAGCGGCTCTCCTCTACACGCACGCCAGCGGGCAGCGGCGGCTGCGCATCATCAACCTGGCGCTGGCGTTGGCTCACCAGCTCGCAGACGTGTTCCGTTCCGCTGAACTGGATACTGCCATCAATTTCTTGACTAAGCAAGGTAAGCTGGTTATATGTTGGGGCTGGTTATATGTACACATAGTACCGTCTAGTTCCATGGTAAGCTACAAGGCTTGTGTTATGGATAAGAGATAGCTGATACATTATAAATATTATATAACTTTAAATACATACATATTATAGACTATAGTTAGTATAGTGACTCACCATCGCTTCGCTCGGGTTCGTCCCTAGGTTGATTCCCCATACAAACTTTCATCCCCATTTTCCTCCCCTTAAGGGAAGATTTCCGGGATAAAAGTTTCCTAAGTCCTTTCCTGGATCCCAACTATCTTCTTACCAAATTTCATCTAAATCGGCTTAGTACAATCTCACAAACTTTACCTCTTTATAATATTAGTATAGATATAACTATAAACACTAATACTGATACGAACATTCGTGTTCATCACACAAATGGATGCCCCTAGTGTGACTCGAACCTGCACCTAGCAAAAACATTTGTTCAAAGAATGAGAAAGCAACATAGCTGCATCCTCTTTAACTAAATATGCCACATCATTGTCCGTGCAGTACTTAAGATGCTACTGTATAAAGCAAAAAATGTTCAAAGAAGAAGTTTTTGGAGTTTTTCGCGGATTAATTTTAATTTTTGGTCCCCGTTTCGAATGCTTTAGAACAATCATGGTCACGGGAGAGTTTCTTCGCGAAAAAATCCGCATCTTTCGCTAGTTCTCAGGTCTGCGGTTTTTTTCCGAACTGGTAGTAGACTCCATAACGTTCAGTGAAAAATTGTAATAATTTAATCGATACAGATTAAATTTGAAGTGTCTGTTTGTAATGTCAAAATAACAGCGTTTTACTAAATGCACGTGAAATTGTATACGGTACTTATAAGAAAAACACATTTTTTTTAATAATTGTATGTCTGTTCCGGATAATCTCTGAAACTGATTTTGACGGGACTTTTACTGGAAGATAGCTGATGTTATAGGGAGTATCATAGGCTACTTTTAATTTAGAAAAAGAATTAATGTTCCGCTCAAAAAATTAAAACGTACCTGATTAAAGTAATTTGAATGTTGTGTGCAGCGGTGTGGGCGCTGCGGGAGTCGCCGCCGCGCGCGGTGCGCGAGGGCCTGACGCAGCGCTGCGCGCGCTCGCTGGCCGCCTACCGCCGGCACTGCGCCTCGCCCTCGTCCGCCGGCCAGCTCGTGCTGCCCGAGTCCATGAAGCTGCTGCCGCTATACACCAGCTGCGTGCTGCGCTCCGACGCCGTCGCTGGCGGTGAGTACCGTCTCGCTCACGACATGCACACTTGATGGTATTGTTGTCTCTTTCACACTTTACGTTGTCTATGCAGCTGGTCTCACATGACGATAAAAAGTGCCGAATACACATGTTCTAAGAATAATGTAAAAAACAATCGAGCTATTTAAACAAGTATCTTATACTATATATATATATATATATATATATATATATATATATATATATATAGTATATGTATGTATGTATATATATATGTGTTTAAAATTTATTTAAAACTAAATAAATTTAAAACTTTGAGTAATAAAATAAAGAAAATATTTTAAAAGAAAACAATATCGAATGTGTATATTACAAGACTTCCGCGATAAACAATAGCATTCCCAAGGAGGGTTGATTTTAGGCAGGCAGCCGGTCGTAAAACTTTTGCCAAATCCTATCAGCATCACGAAAGATGTACTGCGCCGACCCGAAGTGATTGGAAAAGGGGCAGGGAGATGATGATGATGATGTATGTGTGTATGCATCAGGTCCGGACATAACGTGCGACGACCGGTCGTGCGCGATGTACCGCGCGCTGACGGCGGACGTGTCGCTGTCGCTGGCCTACACCTACCCGCGCCTGCTGGCGCTGCACGGCCTGCCCGCCGCCGCGCCCGACCCGCTGCGCGCCTCCATCGACAAGATGAGCGACCAGGGCGTCTACTTGCTGGGTGAGCACACACACACACATTTATTATTTTATTTATATATTTATTGAAATTTCAGTATATATATATATATATAGCAAAAACAGTTATAAACCATAATAATTGCAGAAGTTCAAGAACTGTGTCGCTATTATTAACGCCCTTCACCAGCAAAATTACAGAAAAAATATGGTTACAGAAAAATATGATATACACACATCCACAGACATATACTTGCATACACGCACGCGCATACGTATGCATGTACGCGCACGCGCACGTATGCGCGTGCTATGAGTACTCATTCATAATGTACAATACAAATGTGTAACACGTTCTTAGTATGCGTGAGCGTTTTGTTATTTATAAATATTAGAAATACTTTGTTGTCTTTTTATAAGTCTGAAGTCTGTAAATTATGTTATATAATATGAAGAAAAAAAATTATAACTGTGTTTGTTACTTTTCAAACGATTTGAATGAATTTAAGCGAAGTCCATGTTTCACAAGCAAACGATAATTTTCCCTATATAAAAACAAACTATAATAATAATTAACTCCGGTGTCCAGAGAACGGTGTCCACATGTTAATCTGGATCGGTTCGAACGCGCCGGCGGAGTTCGTGCAGGACGTGTTCGGCGCGCCGGCGCAGCACGTGGACGCGCACGTGTGCGAGCTGCCGGCGCGCGACTCGCCCGCCGCGCGCGCCGTGCGCGACCTGGTGGCGGCCGCGCGCGCGCTGCGACGCAACGCCATGCGGGTGAGTACCCTATACACAGGAATACTTTGTTTATTTAGCACTAGCGACTTATGTTTTAACGCTTAGTATAGATTTCTCAGAGATGAGATATTTTCTCGAAGTAAAAATTCAGTATATTCTATATGTTGATCCGGATAACCAGCTATCATTATACCAAATTTCATTAAAATTGGTCCAGTGCTTTTTCGTGATGCGGTCACAGACAGACAGATAGATAAAAATCCCTAAAACTATAGATTCAGCCTCTGTGTCGATAATAATGTTTATTTCAATAAGATTTTTCAAAAAATATTTAATGTACAGATTCGGATTAGTTACTATTTTATTATATGCATAAACTAGCAACTCCAGCCGTTTTGGAGTTGACAGAGAACATACATAAACATAAGTCCGTAAGGAACCTACCACCGCCGCCTCGGAAGGCAGTTCTGGTGAGAAAAGCTCTAGAGAAACTTAACAGTTGCTCTTTACAATACAAAGAATACGATGTATTTTAGTATATAATGTAACACTAACAGTATTAGTAGACTTGAAATGATTTAGAATTGTTTTTTTGAGTGTCCCTTTTTTTTAATTTATATGTGTCAAAGAGATTTCAAAATTACGATGTTTATTTTAAGAAATGCATGCACTTTTCTGTACTTTTTATTATTTCTTTAGTGTGTGTTAGAATTGTATATAATATTGTAGTGGTATTCAAATATGGACCATTATAGCGGTTGTTTTAAATAAATTCTCGTAGTATCAAAGATTAGCGCCATCTATGATCAACTTACGTAACTATTATAACTGAAGCATATAAAGAATGGGCTTTTATATTACTAGCGACTCACCTTCGCTTCTCTTTTCCAAAAACACATCTATCCCACGGGAATAAATATGATATTTTTTGGGATAAAAAGTAATCTATGTGCTATTCTAGACTATATCTCTGTGCCAAATTTCATTCTAACTTTCACGTTTATATTATTAGTATGGATGTTGCAACTTCTCCCTGAAAGCCTCGTCATTTTTACTTACCCTTGATGGCATGTTATTTTTTTTTATACAAACTAACTTATATCTTCAATAATATTATACTTGTAATGATCTAAAATGTGCCATGTAGTAATCTAGCTAAATTATTTGCCTAATAGCATTATGTAATAACTCTAAAGAGAAATAATTTTTTATAACATAATCACCAAAATAAACTGTCGCTCAAACTGTGTTATGGTGTACGCTAAAAGAGCCAAGCGATCAATTCTCATCCCATTCTTTATTTGCACCTACTTGTTTTCGATAAAATGAATATCTACCGCCATCTTAGTCCAATAGGGAAATATGCGTGTGATTTAAATAAAGATGAAATATATTTTTTTATAATCTTTATTGCTTTTGTATCAAGTCTATATTAATATTTTTAATGAAATTTCTTTTTGATTAAGAAAATAATAATTATTAAAAAGTGCGAATATATATGTGGGCAGTTCAAAGTAGTTGAAACGCACGCCATTGGTCAGACCGAATTTGACGTCAAAGTATTATCATAACAGAGCGGTTAGCGAATTTGTCGCTACAAACTAAAGTCGTCATTTTTCTATGTACTTTGACGTCACGCCAAGCGCGCAAAATGGCGGGCGTTTAAAATATCCGTATCGGTATATTAAAAACAAAAAATTTACTAAATTTTAGCTTTTGGAGCTGGACATTTTCTTTTGTATAAAAATAAATGTATAAAAAATTACAAAAAAGAATCACGCATAATCGCTATTTATTTGAATACTACTACAATATGTTTGGATGTTATGGCGGTTTCCACTATCGCTTTAGATGGCACGTATATATAGCATGGTATATTTCTCGCCCAGCTTACTGTAGTGCACCAGTTCAGCAAACAGGAGACAGACCTCAGGAAAATGCTAGTGGAAGACAAGGGTATCAATGGAGCAGAGTCCTATGTGGAAAATCTTATGACTGTACATAAGACGGTGCAGAAGTTACTGTAGGTTCTATATCTATGGGGCTTTAAGGGAATTGGCTTTTGGGTTATGGGGTACCATAATTATATGGATGATCACAGATTTTCATTTTTTTTGGTTTTCCAAACTTTATGGGGGTTTCAAAAATGACTATTTTTCTTGATAATCGTTTTGGCTTTGACATTGTTTTTTATATACTTCTCATCATCTCAGGTCCCATCGCAATCATTCGTGAATAATTTTAATAGTCGGTAGTTACAATATAACTTTTTGTTTTAATTATTTGGATATATTCTAAAAAAGTATATAAATGCTGCTTTATCTTTTTTTTTGGTATTTATTTTTGTTTTTACTTTAAATAAAACATTTTTTCGGATTTTTCGTAGTTTATTAATAATAATATTTTTTCCTGACGTTTCGAATGCTTTACAGCATACATGTTATTGGGAGGGACAGAGTAATCTCTAAGATCTAAGAGAAAAAATCTGAAAGAACAGTTTTATTTAAAATATTAAACTATCGCAAAAATCTAAAAAAGTATCTATATAAGTATTGTTTTTATTTGAAGAATGTCGCTTTTTATTCCTGCCTAATTATTTAATTATATTTGATAAAATGCTTGCAATTATTTTATTCACACGGCTTATTTTGTTATAATAAAAATTCTGGATCTCATTAATCGCGCCACCTAACAGGTTAAACTAGGAACGATCCAGATGACCCTATAAGTATATATATATACAAAAAAAACATCAAAATCGGTCAAGCCAAAAACAGAATTACGAACACACGTACACCGGAATTTTATTTAATGCATTATTAGAACTTATGTATATTTTGTATAATTTATTAATAATGTTCAAATTGTGGGCTCGAGCTTTGCTCTGTAACTGTCTTGTTTGTCAAAGTCAATAGAATAATATATAGAATTTTAAATTTTAAGGCAACAATTTCTATGGGATTTGCTTATTTTTTATTTAAAAAGCTATGAAGTACATAACTCCTCATTCATTTTTCAATATTGGACAGAATATCGGCTATAATAGATCAAAGCAAGAAGCAATTTAATCATCCATGATTCCATCAATCAAAAAAGTACTTGATACATAAATAGCGACAAAAAATGTCCTCACCGAATGAGCGCTCATGTGAACATTTGAGCGCGCTTTTAAGTTTATTTTTGTAAAAACTACTTTAGGCATTGCATTTAAGGTTCAATTTATATTGTTGTATATTTATTTCAACTAGAATAATTACCTAAACAAAATTGGTGACCGTTTTAAGAGAACTTTTACATTGGATTGTGTATCTAGTACTTTTTTGATTGATGCATGTTACCGATAAAATAATAAACCTTTCAAAGTAGACCAAAAAGATAGAAGAGTTAGTATAGAAGTCCACTTTGGTCTTTTGGATATGGAAGCCCAAAATAACTAGATATGCCGAAAATAGTTTAATTACATCAAAATTGTTACAGCTAACGGTGATGCGACAACATGACAAGCTCGAGACGGTATTACGCCACTTCTTAGTAGAAGACCGTGGAGTAGACGGAAGCTCCTCCTACGTCGACTATCTCTGCCATATACACAAGGAGATCCGAGCTCTGCTATAGCATTTGTACTACTAACGTGAAACGACGCTCTTGTTTTATGCTCCTTTGGTATAGTCTATGCCTTAGGATTGTCTATGACTCGATAAAGACTGTATGCTTAGTCATGGAGTTAGTATACATTTATTGTCTATGGTTTATATGGAAAATTTCAAACAGCACAAGGTACTAGAATTTACTTTGGTATAGTCTATGCCTTAGGATTGTCTATGACTCGATAAAGACTGTATGCTTAGTCATGGAGTTAGTATACATTTATTGTCTATGGTTTATATGGAAAATTTCAAACAGCACAAGGTACTAGAATTTACTTAAGTATATAAAAGACGGTCGAATTTCGCTCATATTCGCTTTTTATGTACATCTATTCTATACTACAAATTCAATGAGTGTCATCCCTTCTTTTATGTTTACTACAAAAAATAATACAACTTTCAGTATTCACTTATAAATATAGACTAAGAGGTTTTTAGAGAGGACATAGTGATACTTCTCAATTATTAAAAAGATCTACATCTTGACATGCAAATTAGGTTTTATTCCATTAGATTATTATTACAAGTGATTTTGAATCATTATTTAAAAAGTCACTGAAGTCCACGAAGAAAATACCATCTGCGAAAGTTCCCGCTGAGAAGAGCCCAAGGAAAATAGTATCTCGGCTAAAACTTACCGGTAATTTCCGACTTAGACTGCTATTTTTACTTATACATACATATTATTATTTATGTATTTCAATCGACTTCTAAAAGAAGGAGGTTCTATGTTCATCTGTATGTATGTTGTTTTTTTATTATGTAACTTTTAATATTTATAATGTTATACTATGTATAATAAGTGCTTTACACAGTTTGTGAATGCTGTTTGAAATTTTCAATATGAATTTTGATTTGAATAATTTTTGAAGGGTTCCCCATTAAATTGTTTAGTATGTAGGTTGTAATATAGTCCATAGATTATTGTAATAAACTGTTGAAATTGTTTCTATTAAAATAATACTATTGGATATTTTATTTATCAAATAGGGGTTTAAAAACCTAAATTCCTAGGTTTTGTCGAAACGAACTTGTAAATTAAAAATCGGGGATTTCGTACATAGATGAAGCTTAAGGTTGTTATAAAAATAACTTGGTGTAAGGAGGAAAGGAGTTTGACGTTCGTCTCTTAGTCTATAATGTCGTTTCACACTTAACTATTTTTAAATAATTCCGTATAAATAATTAAATGAATGGGTGTTGAGATTTGTTATTGTTTTGTATCTATGAGATTTATTATAATGGTGTTCATAAATGTGTATATCAGTCTGTATGGGACCATCTATCTCTTAAATCTAACAGCTAAGTCATTTTTTTAATGCTTAGAACTTCCTTATTTTGAATCTGTGACTTTATTATTTTATTTTAAACCTAATAAGGCTGTACTTATTTCAGAATAATGATATTATATTTAAATTTTATGGATATTATTTAGTTTATATTGATATTAAGTAAAGCTTCAGTATATATTTTTTTTAGTTATATTTGTCTGTAATTATGAACACCCTTATAATATGTGTGCTATTTTATAAAGAGATCAATAAGTAATTAAAACTTATATATAAAGTATTTTTTGTGTAAAATTAAATAAAACTTTTTAGCTTTACATAATTAAAATATATATTTTTTTGCTGGCAACATTAACTAAAACGACCTGATAATTTGTCAAAAATGAACCATTTCAATTTTACATGTACGAAAAAAGATTGGTTCATTCGAATCGAAGTCATCCGAATAAAACAAAATATTGTTTAATGTTGAATTAAACAAGAAGTTTGAAAATATTTTATTAAACATTAATGATTCTATAAAATATTTTGTTCGCTTAAATCGTGCGTCTTGGCGAGTTTATCACTTTCAATAAATAAATGTTACAGTAACAATTCGTAACCGATCAAACAAATGGAGAAGTTTCATGATGTTGTTAATATCATGTTCATGTTGATTTAACGCAATGGAATTGTAATATAGATCAAAACTAATAAAACAGTGATTTTTTTTAAATCTATCAATAAATGACTAAGAAATTGATTTAAATGTCGGTCGTTCAGGTCGTGTGACGTCACGAAATTATTCTTCCAAGCGCAACTTTAAAGTTTCATAAGTTTTTCATTTGTTGAGATATATTAATAATTTTTTTCGTATTTTTGTTATATTTTACTAAAATTTAAAGAAAAATGGGAAACTTCTCCATTCTTGAGTCGTCAAAACTTGTTAGATTAACTGTACATATGTAACATTGATGTCAATTGTCTTATAGCTTGAAAACACAAACATTTTTATTTTTTTAACTTAATATAGCTCTTATTTAGTTAAATAAATAAAATTGTCATAAATAAAGGTATTTTTGGCTTCATTTTCCATTTTATAATGTGTTAAATATATATAAATTTGTTTGTGTGTCTGTTATGATTATAATAATGTATGCAGATTACTTCGATAGGATGTATCTAATTAGTTTTAATTTTCTAGTTAATCGACAAGAATGTACCGGAGTGTAAATAAAGTATATTGGCATTATTATATGTCGTGGTTTCATTTAAGATTTTTTTATTAAACATTTAAAATGAAGAAAATGAACTTATTGAGCCATCGACTTTTGAGCATACAAGCAATATAATTAGGCAAAAAAATAAAAGATTCAGAAGCTCTAAATACAGATATTTTTTACCCGAGTATATTAAATATTTTAAGAATCATACCCTAAAACTATTAGGTAAATGGCAGACACATGGCATTATATATTGACCTGTTATCGATATTTGCATAGTATCGATAAAAAAATTGGTTGACAGTTTGCGGATCAACGCCATCTATCATCTCTAAAAAACAAAAATATGTCTAGTGATTGCCATCCAAATTATAAGATAAGGGGTATCTGTACTATTACTGTATATGTATCTCAAAATCTATGTCACAAGATTTAAATCTTAGAGAAGTCGACTTTCACTAAGTTTTTTTGTATTTTTTTCTCTATTACCATTAAAGTGCAACCATTTTAAATAAAACTATCTTTTCGGTTATTTTCGCGGATTTAGTTTGATTTTTGCGATTTGCCGTGCGCCAAAAATCTAAATAAATCCGGGAAGTTTTATTTAAAATGTCAAATATTCGCATAAGTCTAAGAAAGTATTAAAATGCAACCAAGAAAAAAAAAGAATTATTAGAAATCAATTTTGGAAAGGTGCTCTACAGCTAAAAATAAATAAAATACAAGAAATAAACACACTGAAAACATTAAGTTTATTTTGTAAGTAAGAGGTCTAAAGAAACAACAGATAAATGGCACTAGTGAAGGTTACAATTAATAAAAACAATACCTACTTATAAAAAATTATAATAATATTACTTCCTGTTTCCTAATGCATTAGTTTCATTTTTCTGAAATGGAAAATAAAAAAATAAGATAAATATGAAAACTGCAGTATAAAATAGGAAAAGTGCGAAGTTGATTGTTGCATCAAGGACGAGATCCTTGAATACTAAAATTACTACCTTACTTGAATACTAAAATTTTTGTTGTTATTCAAATAATTTGCCAGCTTTAAGTAAAACAGAAGTATTATGTAGGTATGAAGTGCCATCCGTATTCTTAGAGTTCCCTGCTTCAAAACAAAAAACCAGGAACCCTTATAGGATTACGTAGTTGTCCGTGTGTCTGTCTGTCTTACAAGTTAAAAAATCTTATTTTCTCAAGATCGCGTGGAGTTATCAAATTGAAATTTAATATCAAATAGGCACATCTATCTGCAATCCCTTGGAGCTGTATTTCCCTAAATAGGAATAAATCTCATATAAGCTCAGTTTTAAATTGCTTTTTGGTTTTGCCTCTTGGTTACGGAACCTTAAAAATAAGGTAAAGCACGTTTCCATTTAAGTGTAAGATTATTCAACTTTGTTTATTTGACCGTGCCGTAAATAAAATTGTTAATTTATAAAACTAGCGGACCCGGTAGGCGATGTCGACGTACATAGACCTCGTATACTAAAAAAATCAAAAAAAGTCTTGACAGGAGCGCTACCTACTGAGTTTAACTATAGCTAAGTAATATCCAACCAGGTGATCCACACAAAAATCATGAAAATATCGGTTAAGCCGTTTAGGAAAAGAATACGAACATGTCGCTCACAAAGGACTATGTATGTATTTACCTACCAAAATAATAATAGCTTAATAAAATCATGCGCAATTTTTAAATTATAGCAATGTTGTGATGTGACACCTGTTTCGGATATAAAACTTCAATGATAGGTCCCTTGTAAGTGCACGGCAGACAGTACTTGGGGCAGCTGCGCCTGCGCTTGCAGCACGTGACCAACGCACATACCAGTATGAGGAGAAATATAATGCACTTCTTGTATTGCATGATTAGATCTTAATGTTCACTGTAAATATATCATTTATTAGTTAATCTACATCAGCTTAGTAAACATTTCGGTAAGTGTATAATTATTGTAAAAAAAACAGTTCTTCTAAACCTCTAATATCCAGGACATTAAAGGAAACATATACAAAAAACAATGTTATTTTCCATTAATATGTAGCTTTATGTTTGTTACCTATATAAATATTAGAGATGTACCGACTAGTCGGGAAAGCAGACTATCCGGCCATATATATATTCGGCGACTAGTCGGCCCATTACTTTATTTATATTATTATTCTTAAAAAAGGGCGATTGAAATGAAATTCCGTCATTATTATTAATTAGTATTGTCATTTTAGTATCAGTCTTAGAATTGGCAATATAATCTATTAATAGGAATGGAGGAAGGAATAGAAGACTTAGTACTTATATGACTAAGATTAACAAAAAAATTTTTAACGCAAGTGTCTACAACTGTGAACAAAGAACATAATAATATAATCTCTCTCTTATTATTTATTTTTGAATCACAGTTTCAAATACTATGCATTAATTATATTAAACTATAGACAGGCACCGACTAGTCGGTCTTTTTCCA